ATGGAGGGACCTGGAGAGCATGGTGCTGAGGGAAATAAGCCGGTCAGAGAAAGACACGCATCCCATGACCTCACTCGTCTGTGGAATCTAATGAACAACATGAATTGACCAACAAAGTAAGACCCAAAGCAGGGAGGCATGGAACAGACCGACACGTGAGGTTGCGGGGACGAGAAGAGATAAACCAGAGAACTTAAATCCTTACTAGAGGCCCGGTGCACGAAATTGGTGCACGGGTGGGGTCCCTAGCCCTGGCCGGCGATCAGGGCCTATGGGGGCCTCCTGGCTGCTGGCCGGGGCCTTCCTTCGTTCCGCACCGCCCCCTGGAGTTCAGCGCACATCCTAGCCAGCGATCGGTCTCCCGGTCGAACTCCCGTGGGGACAATTGTCATATTAGGCTTTTATATATATAGACTAAAGGGCCTGGTGCACGAAATTCGTGCACAGGGGGGGGGGTTGTCCCTCAGCCCAGCGTGCACCCTCTCCAATCTGGGACCCCACGGGGGATGTCCAACTGCTAAACCGGCAGTCGGACATCCCTCTCATAATCCGGAATTGCTGGCTCCTAACCACTCGCCTGCCTGCCTGCCTGATAGCCCCCTAACCGCTCCCCTGCCGGCCTGATTGATGCCTAACTGCCCTGCCAGCATGATCGTCCCGAACTGCCCTCCCCTGTCGGGCTGAGGGGACTGGGTGTCGCCATCTTGTGAGGGCGTGATGGTCAATTAGCATATTCCCCTCTGTATTAGATAGGAGGACATGTATAGCCCATGCACATGGGCAATAGGGTAGAGAACTGAGGGCTGGGAGGGGGAAGGAGTTGGAGGGAGGTGGGGAAGGGGATGAAAATGGAAGATCTGTAATACTATCACCAATAAAGTATATATTTAAAAAAATGACTTTAACAAACTAATTAAAAAAGAAAGGAAGAGAGAGAGAGTCATTGATCAGCTGCCGCCTGCACGCCCCACACTGGGGATTGAGCCCGAAACCCGGGCATGTGCCCGCACCAGGAATCGAACCGTGACCTCCTGGTTCACAGGTCGATGCTCAACCATTGAACCACACCAGCCGGGCCAAAACCATATGTAAATGAGTTACTCCACGAGTCTGGCGACACATTTTCCCTGCTGACAAGTAGCAGCACCCAGCCCACTAGACCCCAAAGGACCCCCCAAAAAGGGGCCAAACCAAGCAAACACTTCAGTAAAATTTTATTTAAAAAATCGAACTAAACTTAAAAAGATGAGTAAAGGGAAAAGGTGCATCTGTGAGATGCGGATGGGTGACCGGCCCCGTTACAGGGATCGTCGAAAGAAGCCACGCAGGGGGCACAGAAAGGTCATTTCGTGAACCTCCCTCCATCGGAACACGTTTATTTTTGCAATTACACAAGCAGCTCATTCTCATCCTAAGGGGCCGGCGTTTGAAACAGTTGCACGCCTCCACCCCATCGCTATTGGTTGAAAAACAAAATTAACGCATTCGAGGCTCCCGTGGTCAGAAGTTGCCCATTTGAGCTCAAAACTGCAGCCCTAGGCTCGCGCTCGCTCCCGACCCCGCAACGCGCATGCTCGCTCCCGTTCCCGGGGGGCACCCACCGCGCAACCCGCTGGCTCCGGTGGGCGCGCACTGCGCATGCCCATTCTCCCCCGCCCATCCCCTCGCAAAGTCCTCAGCTCGCTCCCGTTGGGCAAGCAATGCGCATGCTCGATACACCGGCCTCCTCCCCCTCCCACCGCGACCCAGGCGAGCACGCACCGCGCATGCCCATGCTCACCCTCCCTTTCCGCGCCCACCGCCAGGCCTCCAGCTTGTGCTCTGTGGGCAACACAGTGCGCATGCTCGTTCCACCGTCCTCCTCCCCCTCCCCCTCCCAAGACGGAGAGCACGGAGTGCGCATGCCCATCCTCCCCTCCCCTTTCTTCGCATTCCGCCAGGCCTCCGGCTCCCTCAGTGGGTGCGCAGTGCGCAGGCTCGATCCACCCGCCACCTCCCCCTCCCACCCAGACCCTGGCAAGCACGCACCGCGCATGCCCATTCTCCCCCTCGCACTCCAGCTCGCTGTCTGTGGGCACGCACCGCGCATGCTCGCACCTCCCAGGCTCCAGGGTTGCCTCGCCGGCGCGGGTCGCTCCCCTAAAGAAAGCCTAAAAGCTCCAAAACCTGGCGTGGGGCGGCCGCTACCCCCATCCGCGCCTCCACCCCAGCTCCTAAACGCCACCTGGCGCCACCAAAGCCCCCCGGCAACACCGGGGCAGCTGGCTACCTCTGCAAACATGGAGACGTGCGTGCCGGCGTGCAGCGACGTGATGACGCCACGCGCCGCGGTGACGCGCGACGTAGACGACGTTGTTTGGGAGCGCGCCCGGCGCGGCCGTTTTGAAGCTGCCCTGAGCCGCCGTCTGTCACGTCCTCCTCCGCCCGAAACCCCGAGTCTGTGCAGCCCCCCGAGGCGCGGGTGACCCCACCTCCCGGACCCCGGGCCCCCGTCAGGCCGGCCGCCGCCTCCTCCAAAGCCCTGAGCCGTAGACTCGCAATCCCCGCCTAGCGCCCCTGCACCTCGGACCCGGACCCGGGCCTGCGACCCCAGCCCGGCCGGCGCCCCTGCACCGCGGAGCTCGGGTGCACGCCCCGCCGGGGCTCGGAGCCCCTCGGGCGGCCGTGTCTGCACCCCGAGGCCCCCTGCAGGCCGGACCCTGCGCCGGGCGTGAGGACACGGGCCGCCGGGGCCGAACGTCCGCGATGCCGCCCGGCAAAGTGCTGCAGCCGGTGCTGAAGATGAAGGTGGACGAGCTGTTCCTGTGCTGGCTCAGCGAGGCCGGCACGCAGGCCATGCTCCGCGACTGTCTGCGGAGGATCCAGGCGCCCGGCCGCGCCGACCTGGGCAGCGGCGACTCCGCGCAGCCCGCGCCCCCGACGGCGCCCCCGGCGCCCGGCCCGGCCCCCGCGTCCTCCGCGCTGCCCCTGGGCGCCGCCTCGAGCCCCAGGATCGGGCCGCACGTCCGAGGGACCCGCCGATCCGCAGGGACCCGAGTGGTAAGTTCCGCTTCCGGCTCCTGGACGCCGGCGCAGGTGACTCCCGTCGCCTAGCAACGTGGGGGAGGTGCCCGGGAGGCCGGTGGGGATGTCCGACGCGCAAACACCCATCCGTGTATCCTCTTCTTTTACCCCCAAAAGCCACACATACTGGGAACACGTGGTCCCTGCCATGGCAGGTGTTCCTTGGTGGTTAGAGCGCCTGCCCCGCATCGAGGGGTCGCGGGGTCAATTCTAGGTCAAGGTCACGCACCTGCTGGGTCGGGTCCAGGGCAACCAGTCAACGTGTCTCCCTTCCCCCTGCCCCTCCCCCTAAAAAGCAATAAATAGCCCTGACCGGTGTGGCTCAGTGGGTAGAGCGTCAGCCTGCGGACTGAAGGGTCCCGGGTTCGATTCCGGTCAAGGGCATGTACCTGGGTTGCGGGCACATCCCCAGTGGGGGGTGTGCAGGAGGCGGCTGATCAATGCTTCTCTCTCATTGATGTTTCTAACTTTCTATTCTTTCCCCTTCCTCTCTGTAAAAAATCAATAAAATATATATTTTTTAAAAAAGCAATGGAAAAAATACATCCTCAGGTGAGGATGAACAGCAACAACGTCTTCTTACCCTCGACAGAGCCCCCCGTTGGCTGTAATTTGGGGGTTCGATTTGAGGGGTCTGCGTTGGTTTGAGTTGGTGACGTCTCAGCAGTTTAATGTGGATCGACTGCTGAACTTGGAGGTTTCAGCCCTGATTCGTCTCCTATCATTAGGGCTGGACAGCAGGGTCATAAGAAAAAGGGTGCTTCCCTCCAATTAAAAATGTTTTTAATACATTTTTATAGCCCTGGCTGGTGTGGCTCAGTGGATAGAGCGCCAGCCTGCGGACTGAAGGGTCCCGGGTTCGGGTCCAGTCAAGGGCACCTACCTTGGTTGCGGGCACATCCCCAGTAGGGGGCGTGCAGGAGGCAGCCAGTCCATGATTCTCTCTTCTCATGGATGTTTCTATCTCTCCCTCTCCCTTCCTCTCTGATATCAATAAAAATGTATTTTTTAACATATATTTTATTGATTTTTTCAGAGAGGAAGGGAGAGTTGGAGAGAGATAGAAACACCCATGATGAGAGCGAATTATGGACCGGCTGCCTCCTGCACACCCCCGACTGGGGATGGAGCCTGCAACCCGGGCCTGTGCCCTTGACCTGGAATCGAACCGGGACCTCCCAGTTCCTAGGCCGACGCTCCATCACTGAGCATATGGTCCGGGCCTTCCTGCCGCTTAGCACAGGGTCTGTTTGTTGAGATGTTGCCTCCTGGTGCTGTAGGAAAAGGTGTGGCTGGTGCGTGTTGTATACCTGGAACAGCCTATTGCAACTTGCGGTTAACATACTCTTTTTAGTGTTTTTATTGATTTTTAGAGAGAGGAAGGGAGAGGGATAGAGTTAGAAACATCGATGAGAGAGGAACATCATTGATCAGCTGTCTCTTGCACGGCCCCTGTTGGGGATGTGCCCACAACCCAGGTACATGCCCTTGACCGGAATCGAACCTGGGACCCTCCAGTCCACAGGCCGATGCTCCATCCACCGAGCCAAACTGGCTACGGCCACATTTTACATTTTCAGTGGGAGCAGCACTAAGCTCATCACGACTGGAATCACTTAGTCTACGGGGTTCCCAGCCAGAATGAAGCAGTTGCTAAGGGGTCAGGGACAGGCGGAGTCCGTCCAAGGAGAAGCCTTTGGCCGGAAGTGATTGGTGGGTTTCTGATACGCTCTCGTGGATCCAGGACGTTCTCTGGGAAGGACGTGTCCGGGGGGAAGCTGGCAGCAGCTTCAGAGACACCCTGGCTAGACCCTCAGATACAGGCTTTCCACTTCAAATCCACCCTTTGGCAAAGCAAATCCACCCTTTGGCAAAGCAAATTTTCCCACTAAAATAAGTTCAAGTTTTGTAACAAAAATAGATGTTATGCAAAGTTGTTGTGACAGTTAAGTATTTTATTGCACGTACGTAGTAACAAACACACAACACTTTCTCAGCGTCAGAAATACTTATTTGCTTGTCAATTTCCCTTATAATCGTTCTCCCACCGCTGCTTGTGGCAGCTTCATATACATATTCATAAAGCAGTTGTGACAACCTTGAGGAGTGATAATTGCTACAAAATGGCTAATAACATCCCTTAAACCGGCGGTTCTCAACCTGTGGGTCGCGACCCCTTTGGGGGTCGACCGGCCCTTTCACAGGGGTCGCCTGACACCGTCGGAAAACACATCTGTAATTACACGTTGTTTTTGTGATGAATCACTGTGCTTTAATGATGTTCAATCTGTAACAATGAGATTGGGGGTCGCCACCACATGAGGAGCTGTATTAAAGGGTCGCGGCGTTAGGAAGGTTGAGAACCACTGCCTTAAACTCTCATGGGCGAAGGACCTGCCAAACGTTTCTCACGCAGACCCTAACTCCTGAAGAAACCTCCGTGGGATTCATCGTCGGAGGATGAGGGACGCCTCGTCCGGCCAACGAGGGCACACACTCCCTGGGCTTGGCGGAGGGTAACCTTGTCCCAAACCAACTGCACATCCTCCATCACGTCTTCATCCACTTCCCACAGCCGCCTGCAGAGAAATTGGCAAAAAAAAAAAAAAATTTGAAGTAACTGAGGATTTGCAAAGGGTGGATTTTCTTTGCAAAAGGGTGGATTTTCTTTGCAAAGGATGGATTTGCTTTGCAAAAGGGTGGATTTTCTTTGCAAAAGGATCAATTTGAAGTGGAAAACCTGTACGCCCAGAAGGAGGCTGGCCTGGATCTCTGGGGACGCTCAGCCAATGGGCCCACCCCTGACCTCGGGCCGGTCCCCTTTCTCACAGCCCTACCCAGCCTCAGCGTGGCCAGAGCTGGTACCAGAACCCTCCCTTGCCCCCGGCAGTGGCTGTGTGAGCAGGGCCAGGTGGCGTCCCTCCTGGGCCGCTAAGGGGGTTTCAGCGGCAGCGCCCACACCACCCAGAGGCACGGCCTTGTGTCTTGGGACCCGTGACGGAGCCCCGGGGACCGGGCGTGCCTGCAGGCCAGCCCTGCGCAGACACGGCAGCCTGGGTGCGTGTGCGAGGAGGCGGCCAGGCCTCGCACATCCGGTGCGTCTGGGCCCGACCGCTGCAGCCATCGGACTGTAACATTGGTGCTGGAGAGCGTGACCCCGGGAACGGGTGCCTGTGGTCAGCTCTGCGGCCCTGCTGGGGCCGGTGTCCTGGGGAATCCCTCCTGATCGGAGCCGTTCCGGGAGCCGTGCCACCGCGGGCCGGCCTGGCTGCACCCTCGATCTTTTTTTATTTTTTAATCTTTATTGTTGAAAGGATTACATAGGTCCCCTTTCCCCCCCATCGACCCCCTCCAGCCTGCCCCCCACCCCCGGCCCCCACCACCCCCTGTCTGCGTCCACATGGACCTGGGTGTGTGTGGAACGGGGGTGCTGGGTGTCTGGTCGTGCTCGCTGCCCCCTAACCCCCTCCGTGTCCCGAGTGCCTGGGGGGCCCTGGTCCCGTCCCCGTCCCCGTCCAGTGTCTCCTGCCCTGCAGCCTCAGGCTGGGCAGAGTGTGGACCAGCCAGTGTGTGTGTGTGTGTGTGTGTCTGTCTGTCTGTCTGTCTATCAGGTGACAGTCGGGGGCCTCTGGGTTGTATCTCTGAGTGGGACTCTCTCTAAACTTGCTCAGTCCGTCTGTCCGTCCGTCTGTCTGTCTGTCTGGGGCCTCTGTCTGCTGGGCCTGGAGCTGCTGCACTTGCTGTGGGTCTGTGTGTGGCAGACGTTTCCGTGTCTCGTGGGCAGACGGACCCGGCGTGGAGCTGCCGGGTTCTGTGGTTTGTGTAAGTGGAAAAGGAAGAACAGCCGGCCGGACGCCCGTGCTGTGCCCCGGCAGGTGTGCGCTGCGTCCAGCGGGGTGGAGTCTCCCCGTCCTCAGCACTGGGTGGCGCAGCCTTGGGGTGAGCCGTGGCCTCCGTGTGAGCCGTGGCCTCCATGTGAGCCGTGGCCTCTGGGTGAGCCGTGGCCTCTGGGTGAGCCGTGGCCTCCGGGTGAGCCGTGGCCTCTGGGTGAGCCGTGCTCCCAACGTGTGCGTCTCCGGCTCCATTCCCACCCGAGTTCAGTGATGTCGAGCGGCTGCACACAGCTGGTCCGTACAGGAGCGTCTGTTCAGAGTTCGCCCGTTTACAGGGGGGTGTCCTGTCCTCGCCGAGGGTGAGACGCCGTGGGGAGTGCCTGGGCAGCGGGGCCGAGGGCGTGTGACCTTCCCCGAGCGCCGCCGTGTCAGCCCCACCCTGGCCGTGCCCACTGCGCGAAGCTCAGGGCCCTAGTCGGACAGACGGACGGACGGACGGATGGGTGCCTGGGCTGCCTCCAGCCTCACGGCGGCTGGAACGTGACCTCCAACCTGGGTGCCCTCCCTGCTGGGTGCCCTCCGCGATGCTGGGTGCCTTCCTGAGACACTGGGTGCCCTCCCAAGATGCTGGGTGCCCTCCCGCGATGCTGGGTGCCCTCCCGCGATGCTGGGTGCCCTCCTGAGATGCTGGCAGCTCTCTCTACCTGGGACGACTGTCCGTGCGCCCTCTGTGGGCGTCCATGTCGCTGCCACGGGAGAGCCCAGCAGGGCCACGCGGGAACCAGACCGACACGCGGGCTGTCAGGGCAGTGACGGGGTTAGCTCTCCTGCTTCCCTCCAGGATTCACACACGAAAAGGCTGTGTCAGTGTTAGCGCCCGTCTGCCCCGCGGGGCCACTGCCATTTGCAGCTCCATGCGCCCCTGAGAGAGGTCAGCGCACTCACAGCGCCCGAGTGCAGGCCCCGCCCACCGAGCCCACAGCTCCCTGCAGTCCCCGCCTGCCCTCCATGTGCACACGCACCTCGTGTCAGTCCCACAGCTCCCTGCAGTCCCTGTCCTCCGTGTGCACACACACCTCGTGTCAGTCCCACAGCTCCCTGCAGTCCCTGTCCTCCGTGTGCACACACACCTCGTGTCAGTCCCACAGCTCCCTGCAGTCCCTGTCCTCCGTGTGCACACACACCTCGTGTCAGTCCCACAGCTCCCTGCAGTCCCTGCCCTCCGTGTGCACACGCACCTCGTGTCAGTCCCACAGCTCCCTGCAGTCCCCGCCTGCCCTCCGTGTGCACACACACCTCGTGTCAGTCCCACAGCTCCCTGCAGTCCCCGCCTGCCCTCCGTGTGCACACTCACCTCCTGTCCGTCCCACAGCTCCCTGCAGTCCCCGCCTGCCCTCCCGTGTGCACACGCACCTCGTGTCAGTCCCACAGCTCCCTGCAGTCCCCGCCTGCCCTCCGTGTGCACACACACCTCCTGTCCGTCCCACAGCTCCCTGCAGTCCCCGCCTGCCCTCCCGTGTGCACACGCACCTCGTGTCAGTCCCACAGCTCCCTGCAGTCCCCGCCCTCCCGTGTGCACACGCACCTGTGTCAGTCCCACAGCTCCCTGCAGTCCCCGCCTGCACTCCCGTGTGCACACACACCTCCTGTCCGTCCCACAGCTCCCTGCAGTCCCCGTCTGCCCTCTTGTGTGCACACGCACCTGTGTCAGTCCCACAGCTCCCTGCAGTCCCTGCCCTCCGTGTGCACACACACCTCGTGTCAGTCCCACAGCTCCCTGCAGTCCCTGTCCTCCGTGTGCACACGCACCTGTGTCAGTCCCACAGCTCCCTGCAGTCCCTGTCCTCCGTGTGCACACACACCTCGTGTCAGTCCCACAGCTCCCTGCAGTCCCTGCCCTCCGTGTGCACACGCACCTCGTGTCAGTCCCACAGCTCCCTGCAGTCCCCGCCCTCCCGTGTGCACACGCACCTCGTGTCAGTCCCACAGCTCCCTGCAGTCCCCGCCCTCCCGTGTGCACACACACCTCGTGTCAGTCCCACAGCTCCCTGCAGTCCCTGCCCTCCGTGTGCACACACACCTCGTGTCAGTCCCACAGCTCCCTGCAGTCCCTGTCCTCCGTGTGCACACGCACCTGTGTCAGTCCCACAGCTCCCTGCAGTCCCTGTCCTCCGTGTGCACACACACCTCGTGTCAGTCCCACAGCTCCCTGCAGTCCCTGCCCTCCGTGTGCACACGCACCTCGTGTCAGTCCCACAGCTCCCTGCAGTCCCCGCCCTCCCGTGTGCACACGCACCTCGTGTCAGTCCCACAGCTCCCTGCAGTCCCCGCCCGCCCTCCCGTGTGCACACACACCTCGTGTCAGTCCCACAGCTCCCTGCAGTCCCCGCCTGCCCTCCCGTGTGCACACGCACTCGTGCCTGTCGGGGCCCTGGGCCTGCCTCAGGCCGAGTCACCCAGAACCATCCGGTGAGGGACTGTGGCCGGCTGGTCGGTGTGTGGACACGTGTGTTTGTTTTTTGTTCTTTCGTTGCATCAGTTTATTGGAACTGGTTTGAGTCAGACCTTTATTTTTTTTAACATGTTTTTATTGATGTCAGAGAGGAAGGGAGAGAGAGAGAGAGAGAGGAACATCTGTGATGAGAGAGAATCATGGACCGGCTGCCTCCTGCACGCCCCCCACTGGGGGTGGAGCCTGCAGGCCCAGCATGTGCCCGACGGGAGTCGAACCCTGATCTCCTGGTTCCTAGGTCGGTGCTCAACCCCTGGGCCCACGGGCCGCGATGCCCACGGCTGGAGAAGGGCCCCCCCGCCCCTCCCCCTCCGCAGCCAGCCTCTGAGCGGTTTTGGGAATCGTGAGCCCCTTTCTCGCTTCCGACCGGCTCTGCCCTGTTGGAACGGGGTCTCCCCCAGGGAGGGGTCCCCGGGTCCGTCCAGCCCAGGGCCCTGCCTGCCTGTCCCGGGCCTGCCCGTCGCCTCGTCCCCCTTCACCCAGTGCCTCGGTTTCCTCCTTTGTAAGGGCAGCCGTGACGAGCCTCCTGCCGGGCGCTCAGTGTCTGCGTTGATCGTGGGAAAACACTTAAAGAAAGTCCTCAGCCCTGGCCGGTGTGGCTCAGTGGATAGAGCGCCGGCCTGCGGACCGAAGGGTCCCGGGTTCGAGTCCGGTCAAGGACACATGCCCAGGTTGCAAGCTCGACCCCCAGCCTGGTCGGAACACGTGTGGGGGATCTCTCTCCCACTCGCCCTGGAAATCCACGGAAAACGTCCTTGGGTGACGGTTAGCCAAGGGAAACAAAGACGGGGGCAGATGAGGACGTTCCCGTTTCTCTGGGGTGAGAGTCTGGGTTTGCGGCGAGACGTCCGTGGGGCAGGGCGGGCGTGAGCTGTGCGGCTCCTGCCTGACGGACCCCGACCGCGGTCACTGGGCGCACGTTACCCTGAACCAGAGACCCTGTCCGTTACCCTGAACCAGAGACCCTGTCCGCAGCGGCCCCGGGGCCTCGGGCACCACAGCCGGGGCCGGGTCAGTCGGGACAGAGGCAGCAGGCGCCCGGCCAGGCTGGGCCGCGGGGTGAGCAGGCCCGCTCCTCTGGTCTGGGGGGGTCCCCGTGGAGTCGTGGGCTCCTGGGGTCTGGGGGGGTCCCCGTGGAGTCGTGGGCTCCTGGGGCCTGGGGGGGTCCCCGTGGAGTCGTGGGGTCCCGTGGTCCGGAGCCCCAGTGAGCTCTGCCCGGCACCCGGCCACACTTCCTACGGACGGGCGTGCTCCCCACTCCCCACGGCCATTTCCCGGGGGCAGGGCGTCCCGGGCGGCGTCCTCCCCACTCCCCACGGCCGTTTCCCGGGGGCAGGGTGTCCCGGGCGGCGTCCTCCCCACTCACCACGGCCGTTTCCCGGGGGCAGGGCGTCCCGGGCGGCGTCCTCCCCACTCCCCACGGCCGTTTCCCGGGGGCAGGGCGTCCCGGGCGGCGTCCTCCCCACTCACCACGGCCGTTTCCCGGGGGCAGGGCGTCCCGGGCGGGCGTCCTCCCCACTCACCACGGCCGTTTCCCGGGGGCAGGGCGTCCCGGGCGGCGTCCTCCCCACTCACCACGGCCGTTTCCCGGGGGCAGGGCGTCCTGGGCGGGCGTCCTCCCCACTCACCACGGCCGTTTCCCGGGGGCAGGGCGTCCCGGGCGGCGTCCTCCCCACTCCCCACGGCCGTTTCCCGGGGGCAGGGCGTCCCGGGCGGCGTCCTCCCCACTCCCCACGGCCGTTTCCCGGGGGCAGGGCGTCCCGGGCGGCGTCCTCCCCACTCCCCACGGCCGTTTCCCGGGGGCAGGCTGTCCCGGGCGGCGTCCTCCCCACTCCCCACGGCCGTTTCCCGGGGGCAGGGCGTCCCGGGCGGCGTCCTCCCCACTCACCACGGCCGTTTCCCGGGGGCAGGGCGTCCCGGGCGGCGTCCTCCCCACTCCCCACGGCCGTTTCCCGGGGGCAGGCTGTCCCGGGCGGCGTCCTCCCCACTCACCACGGCCGTTTCCCGGGGGCAGGCTGTCCCGGGCGGCGTCCTCCCCACTCACCACGGCCGTTTCCCGGGGGCAGGCTGTCCCGGGCGGCGTCCTCCCCACTCCCCACGGCCGTTTCCCGGGGGCAGGCTGTCCCGGGCGGCGTCCTCCCCACTCACCACGGCCGTTTCCCGGGGGCAGGGCGTCCCGGGCGGGCGTCCTCCCCACTCACCACGGCCGTTTCCCGGGGGCAGGGCGTCCCGGGCGGCGTCCTCCCCACTCACCACGGCCGTTTCCCGGGGGCAGGGCGTCCCGGGCGGCGTCCTCCCCACTCACCACGGCCGTTTCCCGGGGGCAGGGCGTCCCGGGCGGCGTCCTCCAGGCTGGCCGGGCGCCCGGACGTCATGGCTCGTCCTCCTGTCCCTGCGCCAGCCCCGGGCGGCCGCCCACGACCCGGCCGAGCCCACGCTCAGGTGCAGGGCCACCTCCACGGCCGCTTCAGGGCCGGAGGGCACGCCCCTCCCCTCCCCTCCCCTCCTTCCCCTCCCTCCCTCCCCTCCCTCCCCTCCCCTCCCTCCCCTCCCTCCCTCCCCTCCCTCCCCTCCCTCCCTCCCCTCCCCTCCCTTCGATTGCAAACCCCTTCCCTCCCAGGCGGCGTCATTTCTGTTATTTCTGTGCTGCGTCCTTCAGGGTCTGGTTCTGTTCCAGGTGCCGGGTTCTGCCCTGGGCCCGTGTGGCTCCCCCGTCACTGCTGGGAGCTTTCCCCTCGGACTCTCCAGGCGGGACCTGGGGGGGCCTTTCTGCCCGTGGTGCCCAGCGTGGCCCCGTCTCCTTCCCGGCGGGAGGGGAGCGGACGCCTGGGCTGTGAGCTGGGCAGGTCCCTCTGACCCCTGCCCCACCCCCTCGTCTGCAGGGCAATCGCGGGTCACATTCCACGCTGTCCTCTGCCTTGCAGGGCACGTGTCGGGGTGGACGGCCCAGTGCCCCCCCCCCCCCACTCCCCGCCTCCCCGTTGGGGGAGGGAGCGCCAGGCCCGAGTTTACTTCCAGCTCCTCTCTGCTGCAGGGAGGGGCGGGCGCAGGCTGACCGGCTCTGTGCTGGGGAGGGGCCAGCACCCATCATCCGCCCAGCTCCTTGAGGGGTCCAGTCTGTGCCGGATGGACGGACGGAGGGACTTCACTTCCCAGGAGCCAAGGGACCCTTTGTCCCCTCCCTCCAGACGGCCCACGTCTCAGACCAGCTGTCCCTCCGACTGCTCACTTGCTCAGCCACAGGCAGGACAGTCGGACGTGTGGTCTCGGAGCCCCGGCGGCCGCAGGAGAGCGCGGGGAGCCGGCTCCCTCCTGCCGCTGCCGCCACCACCACCACCACCACCACCACCACCACCACCGCCGCGCCCGCCCATCCTGCTCAGCTGCTCCCGGCGCCCCCGCCCCAGCATGTGCCCTCAGCCTGTGGAATGCGTGCGGCCCCGGCCCGGCCCCCACAGCGCCCGCCTGGCCCTGGCCGCGCATGGAGCGCGCTGAGCCCGGCCGCCCTGCCCGTCCCGCCCGGAGCGGCTGCCGCCCCGACCCCCCGGGCCCCCCCGGCCCCCCCCAGCCCCCGCCCCGCGAGCCCGGCGCCCGGCCCGGGCGGCCCATGCGCCCCGACATGCGGCTGCGGGAGCTGTCCCTGCGCCAGGACCCCGACCTGCGGCAGGAGCTCGCCTCGCTGGCCCGCGGCTGCGACTTCGTGCTGCCCTCGCGCTTCAAGAAGAGGCTCAAGGCCTTCCAGCAGGTGCCGCGTCTGCTGTGTCTGCGTGTGTGCACGCGTGTGTGCGTGTGTCTGCGAGTGTGTGCACGCGTGTGTGACACCTGCCCCTCGCCCGTTCCCGGGAGGTCGGGCCTGGAGGACGTCCTCTGAAGTTTGCAGGGACCGAGCTCTTTAGAAAGCGCGCCCCCCCCCTCCTGTGGTGGAGCCGCTGACACACGAGGGGCTGGAAACTCACCTCGGGGGCCGGGGGCCGGGTCGGGGGGTTCACGGGGGCTCAGCGATGTTCACATGCGGCACACGGGTGCGTGCGGCCCTGTCCGTCCGTCTGTCTGTCTGTCTGTCCTTCCGTGACTGATGGCTGTGAACTTCACCGCGACTCTGAGGGGTTCCAGAGTCTGTGTCCGTCGGAGCACATGAACGCCCTTAAGGGGCCACAGACTGTGAGGGGGAGCCCCCCCGTGGCCTCCACAGAATCCCACGGTCACGGGAGACGGGGGGCGGGAGAAGGTGGAGGGTGACGGGGGCTCCAGACCTGATGGGGGCAGCCCTGCCGCCAGGTGTGTCCCGCTGTGTCCGGGGCCAGAGGGCCTCGGGGCGTGACCGTGGGTCCGTGTTTGCCACCACCGTGCACGGGAGTCCCTGTCCCAGGGTCACAGGTCAGCGGGTCCCAGTGCCGAGCAGGGAGGGACCTGCACACATCCCGTCCGTCTGTCTGTTCCCTGGGTTCCCGTCCGTCCATCCTCTGGCCGTCGGTTCCCGTCCATCCATCCTGTCACTGTGGGTGCTCGTCCGTCCTGCCGCCGGACCTGTGCTCAGGCCGTGGGCCACGAGCAGAGCTGAGGTCCCTGTGGCCGGGCCATGGGGCAGCCAGGCCTGGTCTCCGCCTGGGCCCTGTCCCCTGGGCGCTTCCCCCAGCCCCGTGGGGTGCGGCCCTGTCCCCTGGGCGCTTCCCCCAGCCCCGTGGGGTGCGGCCCTGTCCCCTGGGCGCTTCCCCAGCCCCGTGGGGTGCGGCCCTGTCCCCGGGGCGCTTCCCCAGCCCCGTGGGGTGCGGCCCTGTCCCCGGGGCGCTGTCCTGGCTCCTGTCACCTCCTCCGAGAGGCCCTCCCCTGGACGAGGCCTGTAAACAAACGTCCGCACGCCCGGCTGTCTCGCCCTCCCTTCCGGCTTTGCTCACTCTGTTCCCCGTCCCGTCCCGTGTGCAGGGCCTCCCATCAGGGTGGGGAGGGCCGTCCCCGTGGGCGCTGAACTCATGGGGTCCGGGGCATCGGCTCACCTGGCTCAGGCGGGCATTGCCCCGGGCACCATGGAGCTTCCCGGCCGTCCCTGCACCCCCCTGGCCTCCTGGCCACCCGTGTGCTCCTGCTGCACAGCCCTTGTGGTTGGAGGTGGAGCGAGCCCACTTCCCGTGTCCAGCACGTGGGACCCTCGGGGGCTGCCCTCTGAGGCTGGGCTCCCGGGGGCACCCCCAGAGGACGTCTCGGGGCCCCCCTGCACGCCTGGCCCCGGCTCCCCAACCAGCAGACGGCTTTACGGGCGCTCGTTTGTGGTCGGTGTGCACGCGCCTGCAGCCCATGCCGGGAGCCCGGGCGTGACTGCCATTCCCGGGAAGGCGACGGGACGTAGCTGGGCAGGCGGGCGTGTCCTCCCCCCGCCCGGTGCGGCCGCAGGGGCGGCGTGTGGCGCGGAGTAGGGCTGCGGGCAGCGCCGAGGCCAAACCCTCAGCCCTCGATGGCTTCCTGTCTGAGGCCCTGGCCGCTTTGGAGCTGCTCTTACCCACGTGCACACACACGTGCACACACACGTATTTTTGCTGATTTTTTGCAGCCTCATCGCGGCGGCCGGGCGTGTGGGCACGGTCCCTCCAATCTGCTGAGCCTGTGGGGCCGCTCCCCACGGCGCCGGGTGCAGGAGAGGAATGTGTTCCGCAGCTGCCGGGACACGGGCTATTTATGTCGCGGAGATTAAGCCCGTAAATCCCCCGTGTCCGCACCGGCCTGTTCTGTGTCTCATCCGTCAGCTCGGTGCTGGGCCGGGGAGCTGGGCTCGGCCTCTCTGCTGGGTCCCTGCCTTTCCCGCCAGCGCTCACCCTGGTGCCGGGTGCCGGGCGGCTCAGGGTCCTTGCAGGTCCCACCACCCACCCTCTCAGCATGGGGTGGGGGCCGTGCTAGCAACGTCCACGTCTCTGCCTGCCCTGTGGGGGTCCGTACACAGATGGGGTTACACACCGGTAACCCACCCTATGTTGGAAATACCGTGCCCAGCACTCAGTGATTGAGCATCAACCTCTGAACCAGGAGGTCACGGTTCGATTCCCCGGTCAGGACACACGCCCGGGTTACGGGCTCGATCCCCAGCAGGGGGCGTGCAGGAGGCAGCTGACCCATGTCTCTCCCTCTCCTCTCTGAAAGCAATAAACCACACATATCTGTATATATAAAAGCCTAATGTGCAAAGTGTCCCCTCGGGCGTTCGACCAACCAGGAGTTTGATCGCTTGCTATGTCGTGTGCTGACCACCAGGGGGCAGCACGGAACGAAGGAAGGCCCCGGCCAGCAGCCGCTAGGGACCTACCCATGCGTGAATTTTGTGCACTGGGCCATCCTGACCCGGCCCCCCGCCCCCCCCCGCTGGAGCTCTGGGTGCCTGTGCCTGTCCCGGCCGCCGGCCGCATGTGTATGTATAAGTTACTTTCTCGTGACTGATTCACCCCGTCTCCACCCGCTTCCTGGCTGTCCGTCCCTCTGCAGTTTGGGCCTCCCGTTGGGAGTATTTGCTCCAACCTGAGGCACAGCCCTAGCATTTCTGTGGATCGGTGTCTGCTGATGGCAGACTCCCTCTTTCCTGTTTGCTTTTAGTTCTTTGTGCTCTTTCTCCTGGTGTGCACATACTTCCCAGCTCCTCTCACGGCATCTTCACGGCAGGTGGAGGGCCAGGTGGGCAGCCCTCCCTCCGGCTTCTTGGACCTGTTGCTTCTGTCGGAAAGTCGTTTGCTCCTTGGATGGGATCCTCTTTTTGTTTCATTTTATTGTGGCTGTTTTTCTTTCTTTTTTTAAAATATATTTTTATTGATTCCAGAGAGGGAGGGAGAGGGAGAGAGAGAGAAACATCCATGATGAGAGAGACTCATCGATCGGCTGCCTTCTGCACGCCCCCCACTGAGGATGGAGCCCGCAACCCGGGCCTGTGCCCTGACCGGGAATCTAGCCGTGGCTCCTGGTTCCTAGGTTGACGCTAACCACTTAGCAACCTTGGCAGGTGGCACTCACTCTCTGAGCTCAGGTGTGTCCGCTCCTGTGGTCCCCTCACCTGTGTCAGCTCAGGTGTGCATGGCTCCGTTCTCGTGGCAGATCCTGGCCAGGTGGATTTGGCGCGTGCACTTGTAGATGGCTCCGCGCCCCCCATCGCGCATCCGTGTGGAGAAGGAGTCTCCCGCCCCAGGTTCTGACCGAGGTGTCACCTGTCTTCCTCGCAGGTTCAGACGAAGAAGGAGGAGCCCCGGCCGCCGGCCGCCAGCCAGAGCATCCCCACCTTCTACTTCCCCCGGGGCCGCCCGCAGGGCACGGCGGACAGCGACGCCATCATCGCCAGGATCGAGCGGACCTTCGCCCAGTTCCCGCACGAGCGGGCCACCATGGAGGACATGGGCAAAGTGGCCAAGGTGGGTCCCCACGGCTGGCACGGCCTGTTCATGGCTGTGCATCCTCACGGCCAGGCTGGGGTCTGAGCCCTGCCCGCCTCAGGCCTTCAGCCAACACGCAGGACCTGGCGTGAGTTTTATCTAAACACAGGAGAGCAGACGCGCCCGTTCTGTCCCGGACACGGGAGGGCAGACGCGCCAGTTCTGTCCCGGACACGGGAGGGCAGACGCGCCCGTTCTGTCCCGGACACGGGAGGGCAGACGCGCCCGTTCTGTCCCGGACACGGGAGGGCAGACGCGCCCGTTCTGTCCCGGACACGGGAGAGCAGACGCATCAGTGCCCCTCCCCCTGTGGGGAGGGTGACGTTCACGGCTCTCAGGGAGGTCCCTGAGCTCCCAGGCCTGTCTGCCATCCTGACCCGGGCCCCCCGCCCGCTGGAGTTCTGGGCGCGTGAACAGGGACCTCCCTCCACGCGTGTGATGGTCGCCGCGCCCGGATCTGTCACTGTCGCCGTCTTGGGGTTGGGCTTTCCTTCCAGCCGCGTGTGTGGCTTAAGGCCGCCGTGTGGACGTGCGGACGCAGCAGGTTCTTCAGCGTCTGCGCTGTCCCTGGGGGACTACCCGGCCGACCTCCTTCCCCGGGTGCCTGTGCCGCAGGGAGCCGTGTGCCGGCCCCTTGGCGTTTGTCTGCGGCTCAGCTGGAGGTGCAGCCCTCACCTCCCTCCTCAGGCAGGTTCCTCACGTGTCGCCTGAGCCCAGCGCATGCGGGTCCACCCCCTGCTTCCCTCTCCTGTGCCCTATGTCTGTCTCAGTGACCTCTGTGAGGTCACGGTGGTCCAGACTCACCCTGACCCGTGTTGTCACGGTGACCGTCCGTGTGAGGTCACATGGTCCTGACTCACCCTGACCCGTGTTGTCACGGTGACCGTCCGTGTGAGGTCACGTGGTCCTGACTCACCCTGACCCGTGTTGTCACGGTGACCGTCCGTGTGAGGTCACGGTGGTCCAGACTCACCCTGACCCGTGTTGTCACGGTGACCGTCCGTGTGAGGTCACGGTGGGTCCTGACTCACCCTGACCCGTGTTGTCACAGTGACCATCCGTGTGAGGTCACGGTGGGTCCTGACTCACCCTGACCCGTGTTGTCACAGTGACCGTCCGTGTGAGGTCACATGGTCCTGACTCACCCTGACCCGTATTGTCACGGTGACCGTCCGTGTGAGGTCACGGTGGGTCCGGACTCACCCTGACCCGTGTTGTCACGGTGACCGTCCGTGTGAGGTCACGGTGGGTCCAGACTCACCCTGACCCGTGTTGTCACAGTGACCATCCGTGTGAGGTCACGGTGGGTCCGGACTCACCCTGACCCGTGTTGTCACGGTGACCGTCCGTGTAAGGTCACGGTGGGTCGACTCACCCTGACCTGTGTTGTCACGGTGCCTCCTGCACGCCCCCTGCTGGGGACTGAGCCCACCACCCGGGCCTGTGCCCTGACCAGGGATCGAACCCTGACCGCATGGTTCCTAGGTCGGCGCTCGGCCACTGAGCCACCCGGCCGGGCTGTGGTGCCTTTTATGTCCTCGTCCGCATCGCACTCGGGCTGCATCCCGCGGCTCCTGTTGGCGGGAGTGGAAGCCTGGAGATTCCGGCTGTTCGTCCGGGGGAACCTCCCGTCCTCCCGACCCCCAACATCATGTGTGTGCGTGTGTGGGTGTGTGTGTGTGCGTGGGGGGGGCTCACTCCTGCCCCGGCCTCCCCCCGAGCATCATGAGTGTGTGTGTGTGAGCGTGTGTGTGAGCGTGGGGTGGGGGGCTCAGTCCTGCCCCTCGTCAGGTGACGCCCCTCCCGGTCCCGGCTGCTGGCGTTTGCCCCGGGAAGGACGCTGTGTCTGTGAGGGGCTCCGCCTGGGCCCGGTGTCCGTCTGATCCTGCCGAGTCGTGGACGGACCCCAGGACCCGGTCCCCTCGGGGTCCAGCCGACCTGCCTTCCTGCAGCGAGTGCCTGGTCAGCGGTGACCCCTCCCCGTGCTGCCGGTTCTGCGTCTGCGTTCATGATACCGGTTCCCAGCTGCCTGGCAATTCCTTCGTCCGGCCTGGTTTCCACGGCGACGGGAGCAAATGGCCGGCAGCAGCGGCTGCGCCTCGCACCGTCACTAAGACCCTGTGCCCGTGGCTGACGGGAGCCATGGGGGGGGGGGTGGGCATCACCGGCCGTGGACAGTGACCTGTGCGGCGAGGAGCTCGCGTGAGGAGGGTCCCTCCTTTTCACAGCTGTCAGCTGTGGCGGTGACGCTGCCGTGGAGCTTGTGTGTGACATGTCACGCCGTGTGCGAGCGTCCCAGGAGTGTGTTCTGTAAGGAGGGTCCGGCGTCCCGGGAGCGTGTTCCGTAAGGAGGGTCCCGCGTCCCGGGAGCGTGTTCCGTACGGAGGGTCCCGCGTCCCGGGAGCGTGTTCCGTAAGGAGTGTCCCGCGTCCCAGGAGTGTGTTCTGTAAGGAGGGTCCCGCGTCCCGGGAGCGTGTTCCGTCAGGAGGGTCCCGCGTCCCGGGAGCGTGTTCCGTAAGGAGGTCCTGCGTCCCGGGAGTGTGTTCCGTAAGGAGGGTCCCGCGTCCCAGGAGTGTGTTCTGTAAGGAGAGTCCCGCGTCCCAGGAGTGTGTTCTGTAAGGAGGGTCCCGCGTCCTGGGAGCGTGTTCCGTCAGGAGGGTCCCGCGTCCCGGGAGCGTGTTCCGTAAGGAGGGTCCGGCGTCCTGGGAGCGTGTTCCGTAAGGAGGTCCTGCGTCCCGGGAGCGTGTTCTGTAGGCAGGTCCCGCGTCCCGGGAGTGTGTTCCGTAAGGAGGGTCCCGCGTCCCGGGAGCGTGTTCTGTAAGGAGGTCCTGCGTCCCGGGAGCGTGTTCCGTAAGGAGGGTCCGGCGTCCTGGGAGCGTGTTCCGTAAGGAGGTCCTGCGTCCCGGGAGCGTGTTCCGTAAGGAGGGTCCGGCGTCCTGGGAGCGTGTTCCGTAAGGAGGTCCTGCGTCCCGGGAGCGTGTTCTGTAGGCAGGTCCCGCGTCCCAGGAGTGTGTTCTGTAAGGAGGGTCCGGCGTCCCGGGAGCGTGTTCCGTCAGGAGGGTCCCGCGTCCCGGGAGCGTGTTCCGTAAGGAGGGTCCCGCGTCCCAGGAGTGTGTTCTGTAAGGAGGGTCCGGCGTCCCGGGAGCGTGTTCCGTAGGCAGGTCCCGCGTCCCGGGAGCGTGTTCCGTAAGGAGGTCCCGCGTCCCGGGAGCGTGTTCCGTAAGGAGGGTCCCGCGTCCCGGGGTGACCGCCCGTGTGACCCTGTGGTCACCCCACAAGGCCGCACCCCATCACTGTCAGGTGTGGGGAGTCCTGTGCGGCTCCGGCAGGCGTCCCTGGCCGGGGTCTGCGCTCACCTGGTGGGAATGGCGCCTGGGGCGCTGGCTGGCTGCCCGTCTCGGGAGGGACAGCGTTTGTGAAAGTCGTCGAGTTTGCCAGGCGAGAGCTGCACCTCCTCCTGCCTGTCCAGGTGCCTGAGGGCCGTGGTCACGGTCACGGTTAACGAGGGCACCTCCCTCTCCCCCCGACTCCCTGGCCGCAGGGGGATGATGTCCCTGCCCTCCACCTCCCGGCCACTCCTCCTCCTCCTCCTCCTGCCCGCCCCCCCCCCCCCCCAGCACGCGCTCCCCTGGGATTCCGAGTCCGGAGCCTGTGGGGGACGTTTTCCTAAAACCGCATTTGCCGAGTCCAGTGGTTCTCAACCTTCTGGCCCTTTAACACGGCTCCTCACGTTGTGACCCAACCATGAAATCACTTTCGTTGCCACGTCATCACTTGTCATGTTGCTCCTGTGACGAATCGTCGCGGAAATATCCGAGATGCGGGACGGTCTCAGGCGACCCCTGGGAAAGGGTCGTTCGACCCCCAAAGGGTCCGCGACCCACAGGTTGAGAACCGCGGGCCTGGTCCACCCTGGACACTCAGGCTCCTCCTTCTCGACTGTGATGCTCGATCCTGAGGCTCCTGCCCCGGGGCCCTCCCTCCCGCGTCCTCGTTTCTGCTCCGTGTGACCCGCCTGCTGGACGGGTCCCCTCCGGCCTCTCCCAGCCCAGGGGTCACTGTGACTCGTCCCATGAATCTGCCCTCGTCTTTGTCTCTCTCTCTCTCTCTCTCTGGCTAATTCTCACCCAAGAGTCTGTTTTCCATCGAGTTTTTAGAGCGTGGAAGTGACGGGGGGGGGGGTGAGGGGGACATCATGTGACAGCGATCAGTTGCCTCCCACACGCGCCCCGACTGGGGCCGGGGGTCAAATGTGCAGGTACGTGCCCTTGACTGGGAATCGAACCCGAGACCGTCCGGTGCCTGAGCCAACACTCTAACCGCCGAGCTGCCCGACCAGGGCCGTTTCCAGCTTCCTCTCGTGTCCGCTGGTAACATGACTGGGGCGCACCTTCCCGTCCCGTCCCTGGCTGGGTTTGCAGACGTCTTTCGTGTTGATGGAGCTGTGGGTCCGCCCACCCTCTTCTTGGGTGATGCATGCGTGTCCCGTGTGGGCCTGCACACCAGGCCCCGCGCCCTCGGCTGCGTCTGGGTTCATCCGTGTCCCCGTGGGACCTGCTGCGTGTCCCGGAGGTGGTAGTCCCGGTTGCCGAGGGCTGTGCCTCACGTGGGGGGGGGGAGTGGTCTGCAGACGGGGGAGGCGGGCCATCATACATGTTTGCGTGTGGACCTCAGCCATGGAGAAGTGTGTGTGTGTGTGTGTGTGTGTGTGTGTGTCCCACCCCCCGTTGCCTGGCGGCTTCACACACCTCCTGACCACGTGTGTGGGCCCGGGTCCCGCCCTGGCTGTGGGGGCGGGTGCGGTTGCCCCCGTCCTGGCCCCACCAGACCAGGGACTGAACCGCCGCCTGTGCTGAGCCTGACGCTCCCGCCGCCCAGCCCCGGGCAGGACAGCCGATTCCACACGTGACTGTGTGAGGGGGCACAGCGGGCACAGGGGGCACAGGGAGGAGATGCAGGGAAGGGGGGCGGTCCCCATGTACAGCCTCTGCCCCGGGCCTGGGGGGTGCGCCCCCCCACCCCCTCCTGGCCTCCAGGCCCCGGCGTTGCCCTGACCCGCGGGCTGTCGGCCGTGGCTTCCTCCCGTGGACCCTGCCGTCTGGCTGTCTCTCCTGTCCGCCTTCAGTCTCCCACCTTCTCTTGCTGTTGTGAGAAGCTGGACGGCTGGGTGTCCCCCCTTTCCTAGTCCTGCCCCCCCATGTCCCAGCCTCAGTCCTGGCTGCGTCCGCGACGTGTGATGCGCGCGCTGTCGCAGTCTCCATCCTCACAGCCGCCTCCTTCCTGACCTGGGCCCGCCGGGGTCCACTGCTGTCCTGCTCGTCTGTCCCCGAGGGGGGGCGGGGTGTGTCCCAGCATCACGTGACCATCTGAGCCGCCCCGTGCGGGGTGCGGGGTGGGGGGGGTGTGGAGGAGCGCTCCCCACCCTGCGCTCTGCGCCCTGGTCTCCCTGGTGGGGGCGGAGCGGACGGAGCGCTCACCCCCCCCCCGCCCCCCCGCAGGCCTGCGGCTGCCCGCTGTACTGGAAGGGGCCGCTCTTCTGTGCCGCCGGCGGAGAGCGCACAGGCTCCGTCTCCGTCCACAAGTTCGTGGCCATGTGGAGAAAGTGAGTGCGCGCCTCTTCCGGGCGGGGCGGGGCCTCTTCCGGGCGGGGCGGGGCCTCTTCCGGGCGGGGCGGGGCGGAGGTGGGATGGGCTGGGGAGCGGGAGAGGAGGGGAGGGGGCCCAGGCCAGCCCTCCGTCAGGGCCCCTCCTGCTGGACGGGCGGTGCGTGGACGCCCAGGAGTGAGGACAGGCCGCCCTCTGCCCAGGATCCTGCAGAACTGCCACGACGAGGCCACGCGGTTCGTGCACCTGCTCATGAGCCCGGGCTGCAACTACCTGGTGCAGGAGGACTTCGTCCCCTTCCTGCAGGTGGGTCCTCCCCGGCCTCACCCCGTGCCCGCACCCCGTGCCCGCACCCCGTGCCCACACCCGCACGCACCTCACCCCGCATCCACACCACCGCCTCCCCCTTCTCCCGTGCCCTCAGCGCGCAGACCACACAGGCTGGGAGCCGGGCTCCCCCTCGGGCCCCCCCCTCGTGCTGCCCGGGTGGAGTGTGGGAGCTGGCTCAGGGACAGCCCCTCAAACGTCATGTGCACGGAGGGCACACACGTCCCCCCAAACCCTGGCCTGTGGGCTGGTGTCCGTGGGAGGAGGGAGGAGGGAGGAGGGAGGAGCGCCCCTGGGCCTGGCTCGCTCCCTGAACCAGGTCGCGGGGTCAGAGGACGTGGCTGAGCAGATGCTGCTGCTGGGGTCCAGGGCCGTGTGCCACTCACACTCGGGGTTTCGGGGTGCACGGGGTGTCCCTGGGACTAGTTCTCCTATGGGGGGGTCTCCAGTGGGAGGGGTGGCCCTGTGTGTGCGTGAGCTCGACAGGGAGGGAGGTGCTTCCCTAGCCCGTCCGGCCCTCGGCCCGTGGGCCCCCTGGTCTCACTCCCCTCACGTCTGTGACTGGGCAGCGTGACCGGGCAGCGGGCACACTGCTGGGGGGGGGGGGCGGTGCAGGGCGCGGTGGCCTGTGGGAGCCCCGGGGGGGGGGGGAGCGGGGGAGTGTGGGAGCCCCGGGGGGAGGGGGGGAGTGTGGGAGCCCCCAGGGGGGGGGGAGCGGGGGAGTGTGGGAGCCCGGGGGGGGGGGGGGGGGGGAGCGGGGGAGTGTGGGAGCCCCCAGGGGGGGGGGAGCGGGGGAGTGTGGAGCCCCGGGGGGGGGGGCGGGGGAGTGTGGGAGCCCCCAGGGGGGGGGAGCGGGGGAGTGTGGGAGCCCCGGGGGGGGGGGGAGGGGGGGAGCGGGGGAGTGTGGGAGCCGGGGGGGGGGGGGGGAGCGGGGGAGTGTGGGAGCCCCCAGGGGGGGGGGAGCGGGGGAGTGTGGGAGCCCCGGGGGGGGGGGCGGGGGAGTGTGGGAGCCCCCAGGGGGGGGGAGCGGGGGAGTGTGGGAGCCCGGGGGGGGGGGGGGAGCGGGGGGAGTGTGGGAGCCCCGGGGGGGGGGGAGGGGGGGAGCGGGGGAGTGTGGGAGCCGGGGGGGGGGGGGGAGCGGGGGAGTGTGGGAGCCCGGGGGGGGGGGGGGGGAGCGGGGGAGTGTGGGAGCCCCGGGGGGGGGGGAGCGGGGGAGTGTGGGAGCCCCGGGGGGAGGGGGGGTAGCGGGGGAGTGTGGGAGCCGGGGGGGGGGGGGGGGGGGGAGCGGGGGAGTGTGGGAGCCCCGGGGGGGGGGGAGCGGGGGAGTGTGGGAAGCCCGGGGGGGGGGGGGAGCGGGGGAGTGTGGGAGCCCCGGGGGGGGGGGGAGTGTGGGAGCCCCGGGGGGGAGCGGGGGGTTGTGGGAGCCCCGGGGGGGAGCGGGGGAGTGTGGGAGCCCCCGGGGGGGGGGGGAGCGGGGATTGTGGGGCTCTGGGTGCCTCATGCCGGCGCCGGCCCCTGCAGGACGTGGTGAACACGCACCCGGGCCTGGCGTTCCTGAAGGCGGCCTCGGAGTTCCACTCGCGCTACATCACCACCGTGAGTGCCGGCCGCCCCCCGGGAGGGAGGACCCGGTGCACGGCGTCTGTCCCCGCCGTCTGTCCCCGCCGAGGCCCCCGGTGATGAGGGCGGGCCTCCGGGCCCCAAGCACCGGGCTCAGCGGGTCTCCCCGGGCTCAGCGGGTCTCCCCGGGCTCCGTGGGCTCCGTGGGCTCTGAGAGCCCGTGGTCCGGCCTCGTGTCCACAGTCAGCAGCGCCGTGAGCCCAGCCCCCTCCCCCCTCGTGTGGGGAGGCCGCCCCCTGCCCCCTGGTGCCTCCTCCCTGGTGCCTCCTCCTGGCCGAGCCTCACCCGTGGGGAGCGGGCGCCCCCTGCTGGCACCGTGGTCCCTGCAGCCCCCGCGCTGAGCTGCCCCCTCCCCCTCCCGCAGGTCATCCAGCGGATCTTCTACGCGGTCAACAGGTCCTGGTCCGGCAGGATCACCTCTGCCGAGCTCCGGAGGAGCTCCTTCCTGCAGGTGGGGCTGCGGGGGGGGGCACCCACCTGTCTGTCCACCCATCTGTCCGTCTGTCTGTCCGTCCTTCCTTCCTGCAGGTGGGGCTGCGGGGGGGGGGGGGGGGGAGGGGCACCCACCTGTCTGTCCACCCGTCTGTCCTTCCTTCCTTCGGGGGGGGGGGGGCATGGGGCCAGCACCCACCCGTCTGTCTGTCCTTCCTTCGGGGGGGGGGGGGGCATGGGGCCAGCACCCACCTGTCTGTCCACCCGTCTGTCTGTCCTTCCTTCCTTCGGGGGGGGGGGGGCATGGGGCCAGCACCCACCCTCACCTCCCTTCCTTCCATCCGTCCGTCTTTCCTTCTGCCGGTGGGGGCACAGGGCTAGCACCCACCCACCAGCCGTCCACCGTCACCCACCCTCCCTCCATCAATCTGCCCATCCATCATTCCTTCCTCCCATCCGTCCGTCCATCTGTCCTTCCTTCCGCCGGCCCAGGAGGCACAGCTGAGGGCCTGGGAGTGGCCCACGCAGAGGGTGTGGGCTTCGGGGGATGAGGACGAGGCTTGCCTGTGTGCGGGTCCCCAGCACCGTCCATGGGGGCGGGCGGCCCTGATCCAGCGCTGAGCTCCTGACCCTTGAACGGGTCCCGAACGGTCCTGAGCTCAGCTCCCTGTGAGCTTCTGGGGCCCCCTCCCCCACCCCCCCACCCCCTTCCCCATCCCCCCACCCCCCGCGGGAGGCCGTGCCTGGGACCCCAGCCCACGCCCGGGTGTGTCTGCAGAACGTGGCGCTGCTGGAGGAGGAGGCAGACATCAACCAGCTGACGGAGTTCTTCTCCTACGAGCACTTCTACGTCATCTACTGCAAGTTCTGGGAGCTGGACACCGACCACGACCTGCTCATCGGCCAGCAGGACCTGGCCCGGCACAACGACCACGGTGAGCGGGACGAGGGGGACACGGCAGATTAGGGACGGGGGACGGACAGCTGTGCACGGGGGACAGGGGACGGGCAGGTGTGTACACAGGGGACAGGTAGGTGTGTGTGCACAGGGGATGGGCAGGTGTGTGTGCACAGGGGACGGGGGATGGGCAGGTGTGTGTGCACAGGGGACAGGCAGGTGTGTGCACAGGGGACGGGCAGGTGTGCGCACACGGGACAGGCAGTTGTGTGCACAGGGGACGGACAGGTGTGCGCACACGGGACAGGCAGTTGTGTGCACAGGGGACGGACAGGTGTGCGCACACGGGACAGGCAGTTGTGTGCACAGGGGACGGGCAGGTGTGCGCACAGGGGACGGGCAGGTGTGTGCACAGGGGGGATGGGAGTCCTTATTCGAAGGGGAGGTGAGGACACAGGCACACAGAGGGCGGCCCTGTGAGGACACGGGGAGGAGACGGCGTCTACACGCCAAGGAGAGGCCTCAGGCGGGACCAGCCCCGCCCCCACCTGGTCAGACCCAGGACGAGGATACGTCTCGTTCGATGACCGTCGGGGCCTCCGTCACCGCTGCCCCTGCTCTCCCTCCCCGTCACCAGGGTCTGGGCTGCATTTATCGTCTCCGCACCGGCAGGGTCTGGAAGGGAGGCCCAGCCTGAGGGGTGGCTGCAGACCTGCCCCTCTGGGTCCCTCTGGGTCCCTCTGGGCCGTGGGCCCATCAGCTTCTCCTGTGCCTCCCGGCCGGCTCAGCCCTGGGCCTGGAGAGCGGGGGGTGGGGGGCCATTTGGGGGCCTGGGTGCACCCCGGCCTCGGCATTTCAGATGCCCCCACACAGTGCGGGGCACTCACCCTGTCTCCTCCCCCCCCCCCCCCCCCCCCCCCAGCCATCTCCACCAAGATGATCGAGAGGATCTTCTCGGGAGCCGTGACGCGGTACGTCTCAGGCGCGTTCCCTCCGCGGTCGGCCCCTCTCTGTGTCCAGCCCGGCCTCCCTCTCCCTCCGGCGTCTCCTGAGGGCCCAACGGGACAAATGACCGTCACATGTCACTCAAGGTCATAGATAAGGACCCTGGTGCCCTGAGGTCACGGGGACACACCTGTCACCCAGGGCGGTAGGTGAGGACACGCCTGGCACCCAGGGCCACGGGTCGTAAAGGAGACACGCTGTGGCCACGTGAGTCGTTAGTAAGGGAACCGTGGTGCTGGCGTGTCAGGCCCGGGCGTCTGCGTGACCCTGAGTGACCCTGGGCCGCCCCAGAGGCTGCGAGCGAGGCCCCGGCCGTCACTACTCACCGGGTCCAGGGCCCCCCCCGCCCCCCCCAACCCCCACCCGGGGACCGAGCTCCCAGCAGCAGACAGGCTCCTCCTGGAGCCGCTCCCCACGGTCCGTCTTGCTGCCCGGCTCCAGGGGCCGGAAGGTGCAGAAGGAGGGGAAGATCAGCTACGCCGACTTCGTGTGGTTCCTGATCTCTGAGGAGGACAAGAGAACCCCCACCAGGTGGGCGAGCGCCCTGCGCCCTGTCCTGCTCGGGGGGTGCCCCTGGGAGCCATGGGGGGATCGGTCCCAGGAGGGATTAGTACTGGGGGGTCGGTCCCAGGTGGGATCAGTACTGGGGGCCATCGCCAGGCAGACTCAGTCCCCGGAGGGTCAGGAGTGGCAGAGGGCCTTGGTCTGGGAGGGGGTCCCGGGAGGGCCTTGGTCTTGGAGGGGGGTCCCGGGAGGGACTTGGTCTGAGAGGGGGGTCCTGGGAGGGACTTGGTCTGGGAGGGGGGTCCCGGGAGGGACTTGGTCTGGGAGGGGGGTCCTGGGAGGGCCTTGGTCTGGGAGGGGATCCGGGAGGGCCTTGGTCTTGGAGGGGGGTCCTGGGAGGGCCTTGGTCTGGGAGGGGGGTCCTGGGAGGGACTTGGTCTGGGAGGGGGGTCCCGGGAGGGACTTGGTCTGGGAGGGGGGTCCTGGGAGGGCCTTGGTCTGGGAGGGGGGTCCCGGGAGGGACTTGGTCTGGGAGGGGGGTCCCGGGAGGGACTTGGTCTGGAGGGGGGTCCTGGGAGGGCCTTGGTCTGGGAGGGGATCCCGGGAGGGCCTTGGTCTTGGAGGGGGGTCCTGGGAGGGCCTTGGTCTGGGAGGGGGGTCCCGGGAGGGACTTGGTCTGGGAGGGGGATCCCGGGAGGGGGATCGCGGGAGGGGGGTCCCGGAGGGCCTTGGTCTGGGAGGGGGGTCCCGGGAGGGCCTTGGGGGGGGGTGTCGCGGGCGCTGGCTGACGGCCGCCCCCGCAGCATCGAGTACTGGTTCCGCTGCATGGACCTGGACGGGGACGGGGCGCTGTCCATGTTCGAGCTGGAGCACTTCTACGAGGAGCAGAGCCGCCGGCTGGACAGCATGGGCATCGAGGCCCTGCCCTTCGAGGACTGTCTGTGCCAGATGCTGGACCTGGTCCAGCCCCAGAGCCCAGGTCGGCCGCGCCCGGGGAGCCCTGGGGGGGGACACCCTCTGGGGGGGCACGGATTGGACGGGCCACCGGGAGGGTCCCAGGACCCCTGAGGTCAGACGGACAGACAGACGAGGGGCCGTCTGTGCCCTCAGCGCCGTCTCGGGGTGGATCTGGGCCTGGGGCCGAACCTCCCTGGGGCCCTGCGTTCCCTCCTGTTGGGTCCCGGGTCCCAGCAGCTCAGGGCTGTGGCGCCCCCTGGTGGCCAGTTTCTCTTGTTTCCTGTTCTGCCTGTGGATGTGGGATGTGCATGGGCATCCCCTCTGTCCCCCCACCTCCCCCACACCTCCATCCAGGCCCCATCCTCCCCTCTGTCCCCCCCATCTCCATCCAGGCCCCATCCCCCCTCTGTCCCCCCAGGCTCCCCCCATCTCCATCCAGGCCCCATCCTCCCCTCTGTCCCCCCCATCTCCATCCAGGCCCCATCCCCCCTCTGTCCCCCAGGCTCCCCCATCTCCATCCAGGCCCCATCCCCCCTCTGTCCCCCCAGGCTCCCCCCATCTCCATCCAGGCCCCATCCTCCCCTCTGGCCCCCCCAGGCCTCCCCATGTCCAGGCCCACCCCCCCACCCCCACCCTGTCCTCAGCTGGACGCCCTCCCGCGTCCGTGTGTCCGTCCGTCTCGGGGGGTGTCAGGAAGCGCAGTTGTGCCGGGGTTTGGGGTGCGACCGGGTGGGAGACCCTGAGGGCGCTGCCGTGACACCCCCCCAGGGAAGATCACGCTGCGGGACCTGAAGCGCTGCCGGCTGGCCCACATCTTCTTCGACACCTTTTTCAACATCGAGAAGTACCTGGACCACGAGCAGAGGGAGCAGGTGTCCCTGCTCAGGGTGAGGGGGGGCCCTGTGTGGGGGAGGGGGGGTCCTTGCTCAGGGTGAGGGGGTCCCTGTGGGGGGGAGGGGGGGGTCCCTGCTCAGGGTGAGGGGGTCCCTGTGGGGGGGAGGGGGGCCCTGCTCAGGGTGAGGGGGTCCCTGTGGGGGAGGGGGGGTCCCTGCTCAGGGTGAGGGGGGTCCCTGTGGGGGTGAGGAAGGGGGGGCCCTGAGGGGGGAGGGGGGTCCCTGTGGGGGTGAGGAAGGGGGGGCCCTGAGGGGGGGTCCCTGTGGGGGTGAGGAAGGGGGGGCCCTGTGGGGGGGAGGGGGCCGGAGCCGCAGGGCCAGGCGCTGAGGCCGTGTCCCCCTGTGACCCGCGGGCCCCGCAGGAGACGGAGGCGGAGGGCCCCGAGCTGTCGGACTGGGAGCGGTACGCGGCCGAGGAGTACGACCTGCTGGTGGCCGAGGAGGCTGCGGGGGAGCCCTGGGAGGACGGGTGAGCAGAGGGGGGAGACGGGGGAGGGGGGAGATGGGGGGGAGACAGGGGAGGGGGATGGGGAGACGGGGGGGATGGGGGAGATAAAGGGGGGGCGGTAGTTGGGAGACAAGGGGGGGCCAGCACCCAGGGATGACGGACGAGGGCCCCTCTCGACCGCACGGTCCTGGGCACGGGACGGCGGGTCCTCACTCTCTGGGCGGCGGCCTTGGGGGGCCCCTGCCTCAGTTCTGGGCGTTTCCTGAACCGAAGCCTCAGGGTCGTCCCCTCGTGTGGGTGGGTCTTCCTCTCGCCCCGGACGGGCGCGGCTCTGGGCCCGGGTCGGGGTGCTCCCCTCGGGGCGGCCCCCCCCCCCCCATCCCTGCGAGTCCGGGACGGGCACCAGCGGGTCCTCACCACCAGCGATGGGTGGGCAGCCCGGCCGCGTCCTGCTTGTCCTTGTCACCACCGACGGGCGGGCCGGGTGGGCGCCAGCGGCTCCTCGGTCTCGGTTCCGTCCGTCCCTCCTCCGTCTGGGTTCTCGTGGGGCCTCGGCCTCCCGTCCGCACGGTCACGGCCCCCGGACGGGGGACTGTCCTGCCCCCGAGGGTCCTCGCCTGCGTCCCGTCCCCGATCCGACCGGCAGCCGGGCCCCGAGCCCCCCGGGGGTCCTGCTCGTGGGGCTGAGACCTGGCGGCCGAACGGCAGCCGGGGGCGGGTCCCCTGCAGGGGGGGGTCCGCCTGGCCTCGGGGTGTCCGGGGCCCTGGGGGGCAGCTCCAGGCCTGTGGGCGTCGGCTCCACGGCCCCCTGATGGCAGGCACCGCCCAGGCCGGCATCCTCCCTGGGATCCCTGACTCTGGACCCCCCTGTGTCCCCCGTGTCCCCTGTGTCCCCTCACTAGTCTAGGGCCCCCATCCCCGCCCATGTCCCCACTCCCCCCCGTGTCCCCTCACTAGTCCAGGGCCCCCATTCCCGCCCATGTCCCCACTCCCCCCCGTGTCCCCTCACGTCCCCTCAGGAGTCCAGGGCCCCCATTCCCCCCTCGTGTCCCCACTCCCCCCCCATGTCCTCTCACGAGTCCAGGGCCCCCATTCCCCCCCCATGTCCCCACTCCCCCCCGTGTCCCCTCACGTCCCCTCAGGAGTCCAGGGCCCCCATTCCCCCCTCGTGTCCCCACTCCCCATGTCCCCTCAGTCCAGGGCCCCCCATTCACCCCCCCATGTCCCCACTCCCCCCCATGTCCCCTCACAAGTCCAGGGCCCCCATTCCCCCCCAGTGTCCCCACTCCCCCCCCCCGTGTCTCCTCACGAGTCCAGGCCCCCGTGTCCCCCATGTCCCCCGCACTCACCGCACCCCCCCCCCCCCCAGGTACGAGGCGGAGCTGAGCCCCGTGGACCAGAAGCTGGGCGGCCTGCGCACGGCCCTGGCCCAGAGGCCCTTCCTGGAGGCGCCGGCGCTGGGCGCGGTGCACCTGTTCGACTGCGAGGCCGACGAGGAGCTGCAGCCGTCCTGACTCCCAAGTCCTGAGCCCGGGCGTCCTGAGGGCGTCCACGGCCCGGCCCCGGGGGGACAGCGTGTGCGTGTGGGTGGCTGAGCTTCTACAGACGTGAGCTGCGTGTGCGACGGCGACCTGTTTATTCACACGGAGGCCGGTCCCAGGGGGTCCCCGGAGGCTGTGTCCCCGCCCCCCTGGCGGGCAGAGCAGGCGCCCCGGACCCGGGGACGCGGTGGGACCCCCACAGCCCTGGCTGGCTGCCCCGGGGAGGTGTTTGCAGAGACGGGCCCAGGACGGTTCGCACCCCAGGGTCCGGCGTCAGCCCGGGATGCCCTGCTTGACCTCGGCCGAGTGCCCGAGCTGGAGCCGCGCGGCTCTCTGCACGCGTGTCCCTCTGCACGCGTGTCCGGGCACGGGGCCTCCCACACGGGCGCTGAGGTGGCCGCGTCCTCCTGAGTGTACAGACCGTGTAAAGTGAACTGTTATTTGCTGTGCAGAGCGATTTTAAAACGTTTTACGAGATCACATTTGTATTTTCGAATAAATAACTTGAGGGTTTTCAGCCTTAGGCTCCTCGCACCCAGCCAGCAGCCCAGGGCCCCCCTGACACAGAGGTTCGGGGGCCTGGGGTGCAGGTCCCGTCCCCGCGGCTCCTGGTCCTGGGATATGGGGTCCCCCCTGGGGGCATGGGATGTGTCTTATGTGATCCCCGGGTCGTGGGACCTGGGGTCCCCCCCAGGGGGCACAGGGTGTGTCTTACCTGATCCCTGGGTCCTGGGATGCGGGGTCCCCCCTGGGGGCACAGGGTGTGTCTTACGTGATCCCCGGGTCCTGGGATGTGGGGTCCCCCTGGGGGCACGGAGTGTCTTACCTGATCCCGGGTCCTGGGATGTGGGGTCCCCCCTGGGGGCACGGAGTGTCTTACCTGATCCCTGGGTCCTGGGATGCGGGGTCCCCCCTGGGGGCACAGAGTGTGTCTTACGTGATCCCCGGGTCCTGGGATGTGGGGTCCCCCCTTGGGGCACCAAGTGTTTCTTACGTAATCTCAGGGCCTGGGACCTGGGAGCAGGTCCCCCCTGGGGGCACGGGGTGTGTCTTACCTGATCCCTGGGTCCCGGGATGTGGGGTCCCCCCTGGGGGCACGGGTGTGTCTTACCTGATCCCGGGTCCTGGGGACGGAGAAACAGGACTGGCCCAGGGCCGACACCTGCGGGTCAGACACTCCCCTTGAGCCGCGTGCCCCCCACTCAGGGACCCCCTCTCCTGGGAAAACCTAAAATAGGAGCTCTGAGCCTCCTCTCTGCCCGGGAGCAGGTTCCCCCTCCTGCCAAAGTCCCTTCCAGCCTCCCGCCTGCCTGCCTCCTGGCCTGAGCCCCCCCCCCCCCCCCCCATGCACACGGGCCCGGACCCGCCCCGGGGAACAGACATGACCTGGTGGCCTCAGCCCTCCCCGGGCGGCTGTGTCCTGCACGGAGGCCGCAGAGCGTGGCTGAGGCATCGCCCAGCGGGGGGCCTCTGCCCTCCCGGCAGCCCCTGGACCCACAGGAGTTGGTCCCCGTGGTCCTGTCCCCTTCTCATCGGGGGAAGGCCCTGGCTGGTGCTGCTCAGTGGTTACAGCACCCCCTCCCACAGAAGGTCCCAGGTTCGATTCCAGTCGATGTCTCCCCCTCCCCTCCCCTCCCCTCTCTCTAAAAGTCAATGGGGAAACACCCCCTGGGGAGGACTGTAAAGAGGAGAAGGCCCCCCCCCCCCACTGATGGCTCAGAACAGCACCCCCTCATTCGGGTTTCGGAACCACATCCAGGGGAGGGGTCTCTCCGGGACCTGCGACCTCAGCAGAGAAATTGGGGGAAACCAACACGCCCCACAGACCCTGACCCCAGGGTCACGGGGACCCGGCTTCCAGGCCCCGCACCCCCGCCCCCCACCTCCGGGCGCCCAGCCGTCGCCACCAGACACCTGCCCGGACTCACCCTGCGCGCTGCTCGCGCTATGGGAATCGGGAAACCAGCAGATGTGGGGCGCCCAGTGGGTGTCCACGGGCAGGTCCCCCGTCTCCCGCTGCACCCCATCTCCATGCCCCTGTGGCCCTTGGCGTCACCCCCATGAGCCTCTGTGACGTCTCCAGCCGGAGCGCCACGCCCACTGGTTTCCCAGGTGCCCCCCCAGCCGCAGCCCTCCCCGCCCCCACACCCCCTGCTGCCCCCACACCCTGGTACCTGCCCTCGTCCACCCCACACCTGGCGCGCCCTGCGCCCCTCGGAGGCCCGGTCACCTCTCCGGTGCACGCACATTCCCACGTCCCCCACAGGGGGCTCTTCACCTCCAGTTACGGGGTCCCCGCCCCCCGGCAAAGGGATCCCCCAGCCCCCCAACCCCAGCGGCCCCACCGCAGGCTCCGGAGACCCCACGGGAGGAAGGCGAGCCCAGCGGGACCAGGTCTCCGAGGTCCGTCCCGCCTGGACCACGTGCGCCCTGCGCGGCGCATCTCCAGCTCCTGCCCCGACGGGGAGGGGCGCGTCCTGAGGACAGAACCCCCTCGGCTGACGGTTCTTCCGGCACCAACTACAGACGGAATTTTCCTACCGACCCCGGGGCTCGGCGGGTGCGACGAGGCTGTAAAAGGATACGATGCTGCCCCGGCCGGTGTAGCCCAGTGGATAGAGCGTCCCCCTGCGGACTGAAGGGTCCCGGGTTCGATTCCGGTCAAGGGCACACATGCCCGGTTGCGGGCTTGATCCCCAGTGCGGGGCGTGCAGGAGGCGGCTGATCCATGATTCTCTCATCATTAATGTTTCTAGCTCTCTGTCCCACTCCCTTCTTCTCGGAAATCAATAAAATTTTTTTTTAAAGGATGAGATGCCTCCACGGGTCCATGGCTCAGAACGGAAACACGTTTAGAGGAAAAAAAAACAAGGACAGGGCGCGCTTTGACCGGGTGGCTGTGCCGTGGCCTGACCGCTCCGGGAGCCGCTGTCCATTCTCCAGCCCGGCACCCCGGGCGCGGGCTGAGCTGCGGGTGACGTCACAGGTGAGCCCCTTGTCATCGGGCTCAGAGCTCCTGCAGGCGGGACTGCAGACCCTGCCCTCCCCTCCCCCTCCCCTCCCCTCCCCCCTTTCCTGTTACACTTTCTCGCAGCTGCACGGAGCTGCCTTCTCCCTCGTGTGTCGATAACCAGCCAAGTAGCGAGGGGCTCGGAGCAGGTTTTTGTGGGTGACCTGGGCCCCCCGCTGCCCGCAGAGAGAATAAACGCTCCTACAGGGTCACCCCCGTCGCCGCTGGATTGGCCTCAAGTGGGGACAGGCGGCCGGACAATTGTGTCGTTTCACGCGGGGAAAGCGGACACATAACACGTTTCCTCCGCTGGACGCGGGAGACGTTGGTGAATGAACACGGGGAGCCCCACGCGGCCCGTCCGCGGCCCCAGGAACCCCGGGACTGAGGCGGGAGCCCGGCTGGTGCGTCCCGAGCGGGTGCGCTCGGGGGACGCCCCGCGGATAGATGTTGGGCAGGTCCCGCACGTGCCAGGGCGCCCCAACTCCACCCCCTTGCTCACCGGCCCCCTAACCCCGTGCACCTCCTCCTCCCCGCCCCCCACCCCTCCCCTTCCCCCCGCACTCAGCGCCCAGCGCTCCCCCTGGCGGGCACCAAGCCGGCCGGGTCCTCCGCACCCCCACCCCGTGCAGCCTCCGGTGTGACTAAAAGGCTCCGGTTCACGCTAAAACCCCAAATTAGCCTGACGGTGTGGCTCAGTGGTTGGGCGTGGACCTAGGAACCAGGAGGTCAGGGTTCAAGTCCCGGTCAAGGGCACAGGCCCGGGTTGCGGGCTCCATCCCCAGTGGGGGGCGCGCAGGAGGCAGCTGGTCCATGATTCTCTCATTATTGATGTTTCTTTCCTTCTCCCTTACTCTCTGAAATCATTAAAAATATATTTAAAAAGTAAAATAAAATTCCTCCGTGTCTTTAAAAAATAGTAAAGGTAAATAGCGCAACCCAGCAACTCCTCCAATATTATTAATCCTTATCGGGGAACACTTATTATTATTATTTTTATTATTATTTTATTTTATTTTATTTTATTTTATTTTTAGAGAGTGAAGGAGGGGGAGGGAGGGGGAGGCCATGGACTGGTTGCCTCCGAACGCGCGCCCGGCCGTGGCAGGACCAGCACAGACACGGCCAAACCTCACGCGGCAGCTCCGCGTGGTCGCCGAGTCACTTTCATTTCCGGTCCTGCACCTGCGGCCGATCGGCAGGAAGGTGCCACCTTTTCCTGGAGCAAAATGCTCCCACGTTTTCCAAGCTCGTCCACGGTTTCCCTGCCAACGCCGGGCCGAGTCTAGCACGTGACCCATTTCCTTTAGGCTCATCCTTGACAGGTACCGTCTGCAGAGCCCGGTCCCCGTCGGTTCCGACACAGCCCGCCGGTAACCATGGAAACCATGTCAAACCGGGCGCCGAGAGCAGGGGGCCGGAGCCTCGCCCCCTCGAGGGTCCCCTAGCGCCCCGCGTTCCGTCTCCCGAACACCGCGACCGCACGTCAATCACACGGCGGCGAGCACGTGACACGGCCCGCCAATGGGGAGCCCGCACGGAAGCACGCCCCCGAGGCCCCGCCCCTTGGCGTTCGGCCGCGCGCGGGATGTGGACCCTGCGGGCCGCCGTCCGCCGGGGGGCCTGGCTCTCCCGCTTGGTTCGCGGCCGCCCGGTTCCGAGGGCCGCGCCGCCGCCGCTGCCGCCACCGCCCTGGCCAGGGCGCGCGCTCGCCGCCTTCGGTACCGGGAAGGCGGGGGGCCTGCAGGGGCGCGGAGGCGGAGGCGGAGGCCGCGGGCCGCGGGCGCATGGCGGGACTAGCGGAGCCGGGGAGGCGGAGGAGGAGCCGGAAGATGAGGAGGAGGAGGAAGAGGAGGAGGAACTGCTGCGGAGGGAGCCCTTGCTGCCCTCGGGGACCCAGCGCGTGTGCCTGGTTCACCCCGAGATCAAGGGGGGACCGAGGAAGCCAACGCTGACTCGAGGTGACCCGGCGGGGAGGGGGCGTGGCCTCGAGGGCGGGGCTCACGGGGGCGGGGCTTCTGTGGCTGTAAATCCGGGCGGGGTTTGAAGGCTGGACCTCATAGGGCGGGGCTTCGGGAGCAAGGACGAGCCGTGTGGGCGGGGCTTCGGTGAATTGACCTTATGGGGCGGGGCTCCGATGGCGGGAAGACTGGGGCGGGGCTTCGGGGATTGGAAGTCGACTGGGAGCTGAGGGGCGGGGCCTCGGAGGCGGGGATGCCAAGGGCTGAACTCATAGGATAGGTGGCTAAGGGGCGGGGCTCTCATGATGGACTTCGGAGGGCGGGGCTTGAGGGAGGGATGGAGAGGATTGGAATTCATAGGGCGGGGGCCAAGGGGGCGGGGCCTCATGGGCTGGAACTCGGAGGATAGCTCAGGGGGCGTGGCTTCGGGCGGGGATCTGAGGGGGCGTGGCTTCAGAGGCCGGACCCCTAGTCCCTGAGCTCCGAGGGTGGAAGTTTGAGGCTCCAGCTTTGGTGCTGGACTCTGAGGCTGGAGCTTGTAGGCGGGGGTCCCTGTGGGGCGCAGGGCTCCGAGGGGCCGGGGCTGCACCCCTTCCTACCCGCCCCTGAAGCCGCGTCTCTCCCCAAAGCCGAGTGGCAGGTGGCGGAGGCGAAGGCGCTGGTGCACACGCTGGACCACTGGTCGGTGGTGGAGACGATGGTGGTGCCGACCAAGGCGCCCGACCGGAAGCTCATCTTTGGCAAAGGCACCTTGGAGCAGCTGACGGGTGGGTCGGCTGCCCGTGTCCCCCTCCCCCCTCTCTCCTCCCTCCTCCCCCCTCCCAGCCACCCAGCCTCATCGCCTGATGTGGGTCCTGCCCGTGAACCCCGCTCTCCTGGGACCCCTGACAGCCCCGCCCACCCAGTTGTGGGCTCATGATCAGAGCATGGAGCTGGCAGGACCCTGCCTGTCTCCCCGAGTCTTAGCTGCATCCCCTCCCCGCGGGGTCATGTCCCGGGGTCACGTCCCCTCCGTGTGTGTTGTGAGACCCACGCGCCCTGAACACGGACCCCGGCTTCCCCTGGACCCCGTCCACACCCCAGCCTCCTGGGGACGCAGCCAAGCAAAGGGTGATGGTGCCCGTGGGGCGGAGCCCCTGACAGGCTTCTGTCCCTTAGAGAAAATTAGGAGCCTGTCAGAGGTCACCGCTGTCTTTCTGAACGTGGAGCGGATGTCCATGCCCACGAAGGTACCGGGGCGCGGGGTGCTGTCCACTCCCTGGCTGGGGCCTGGGGTCACCCCCTCACCTGAGGTCTGGGGATGGGGTGGGCTCCTTTTTTATGTGTTTACTGGAGGCCCAGTGCGCAACATTTGGGGGGGGGGTCCCTCGTAGGACCACTCCCCATGGAGTGCACTGACCACCGGGGGGCAGCTCCTGCATTGAGCGTCTGCCCCCTGGTGGTCAGTGCATGTCACAGCGATCACTCGTCCCACCATGTGGTCGATGTGCATATTAGCCTTTTATTACACAGGATTGATTTGAGAGAGAGGAAGGGAGAGAGAGAACATCCATGAGGAGAGAATCACGGATCGGCTGCCTCCTGCACGCCCCCGACTGCGGATCAAGCCCACAACCCAGGCCTGTGCCCTTGACCGGGAATCGAACCCGGGACCCTTCAGTCCACAGGCCGACGCTCTACCCACTGACCCACACCGGCCGGGTTCTCTCCTTTTCTAGAAAGAACTGGAGGCCGCCTGGCGCGTGCAGGTGTTCGACCGGTTCACCGTGGTCCTGCACATCTTCCGCTGCAACGCCCGGACCAAGGAGGCGCGGCTGCAGGTGGCCCTGGCCGAGCTGCCCCTCCTCAGGTACCGGGCACCGAACCGGGGGTCGCAACACAGGAGCCCCCTTCCTTTTCTCTTTTCTTAAAAAAAATATATATATATATATATTTATTGATTTCAGAGAGGAAGGGAGGGGGGAGAGAGATAGAAGCATCCGTGATGAGAGAGAATCACAGTCGGCTGCCTCCTGCACGCCCCCAACTGGGGATGGAGCCCGCAACCCGGGCCTGTGCCCTTGACCGGGAATCGAACCCGGACCTCCTGGTTCCTTGGTCCACGCTGAGCCCCTGAGCTAAGCTAAGGGCGGGCATTCATGATGGACTCCATAGGGCGGGGCTTGAGGGGAAGGGAGGCAGAGGGTTAGGACTCGGGGCGGGAGCAGAGGGGGCGTGGCCTCTGGGGGGCAGAGGGGGTGGGGCCTCAGAGGCTGGAACCAATGGGGCAGGGAGCAGGGGCGTGGCCTCAGCGACTGGAACTGAGGGCGGGAGCTAAGGGGGCGTGGCCTCAGGGGCTGGAACTAATGGGGCGTGTGTAGGGGGCGTGGCCTCAGGGGCTGGAACTAATGGGGCGGGTGTAGGGGGCGTGGCCTCGGGCTGAAACAGGGGGCGGGGTCTCAGGGGCGGGAGCTGAGGGGCGGGTCTTTCTTGATGGACTTCATGGGGGGGGCAGCATAGCTTGTTGGACGCCTGCTGGGGTTTCCCCTCCAGGAGGGCCCGTCCCTGTGCGACCCTGTGTCCCTGAGAGCGAAGGCCCAGCAGGAGCGGGGACCCCACGCAGGAGGGGGGACCCCATGCAGGAGGGGGCCCCATGCAGGAGGGGGGCCCCACGCAGGAGGGGGGACCCTATGCAGGAGGGGGGCCCCATGCAGGAGGGGGGCCCCCACGCAGGAGGGGGACCCCACGCAGGCGGGGGGACCCCATGCAGGAGGGGGGACCCCGGTGCACTCCCCCCTATCAGACACCCGCCCCCCGTTCTGCCCCCCCTCACTTGGGACGGCGTGAGGCGCCCCCTCGCGCCCCCCCACGGCCTCCGCATCCGCTCCATCTACTGAGCTGCTGTGTCCACGGCAGGTCCAACATGAAGCACGACCTCGCGCGCCTGGACGGACACGGAGGCAACTCCCGCTACATCATGGGGTCGGGTGAGTGCCCCGGGCGCGTCTCGGGGGCGGGAAGGAAGGGCCGCCTCTGGGGAGGGGACGAGGCCCCAGACGACCCTGCTGGGGCCCGGCTGCGCCTGCGCCTGGTCCGCGGACACATCGAGCCAGCAGGGACCCAGGGGGCCTCGGGCGGGTGCGACAGAGGACCCCAGACCTGGGGTTGGAGCAACAGACATTCACCCCCGCCCCTCCCCTCATCCTGGAGACCAGGCGTCTGAGGTCCAGGGGTCCCAGGGCCGGTCCCTCCAGAGGCTCCAGGGAGGGTCCCCCCTGCGTCTCCCAGCTCCTGGGGCTCCAGGCCTCCCCGGGCTGGTGGCCGCCTACCCCCCTCCCGCCGCTGCCTCCCTCCGTCTCCACGTGGCTGCTCCTCCGTGTCTGCGTCTCCTCTTCTGTGTCCGACAAGGACCCTGTCCCTGGAGGGAGGCCCCCCCTGACCCAGGACGGCCTCGTCTCCGACCCTTCACCCCATCCCACCTGCAAAGACCCCGCTCCCATAGGAGGACCCGTTCCCAGGTTCTGGGGGTCAGGATGTTGGGGGAACCACTCAGTCCACTGAGGATATCGGGGCTCCGAGACGGCAGAAGTTGGAGGTGCCGCCACCTTTTTTTTTCTTGTTTGTTTTTTTTTAATATTTTTTATTGATTTCAGAGAGGAAGGGAGAGGGAGAGAGAGACATGCCCGTGATGAGAGAGAATCATGGGTCGGCTGCCTCCTGCACGCCCCCCACTGGGGACGGAGCCCACAACCCGGCCATGTGCCCGGACCAGGAATGGAGCTGTGACCTCCTGGTTCCTAGGTCACGCCCAACCACTGAGCCACACCGGCCGGGTGGCGAGACTGCCTTTCTCCGGGCAGAGCTGGGCCTCAGAGCAGAGGTGCTGGGCTGGCAGCTGCCTGGGGCCGTGGGCGCCCCGGCCCGCGTCCCTCAGGCCCGGCACACGGCTGGCCTTGCCGTTCTCCCCGTCTGCACCCCGACTCCCCGTCTTGGCTGTTTCCAGGAGAGTCGTTCGTGCAGGTGCAGCAGCGTCTGATGAAGGAAAAGGAGATGAAGATCCGCAGGGCCCTGGAGCGGCTGCGGCAGAAGAGGCAGCTGCTGGGCCGGCAGCGCAGGCGGCGGGAGTTCCCGGTGGTCTCGGTCGTGGGGTACACCAACTGCGGTGAGCGGGCCTCCATGGTGGGGTACACCGACTGGTGGGCGGGCCTCCGTGGTGGGGTACACCGACTGCGGTGAGGGGGCCTCCATGGTGGGGTACACCGACTGGTGGGCGGGCCTCCGCGGTGGGGTACACCGACTGCGGTGAGCGGGCCTCCGCGGTGGGGTACACCGACTGCGGTGAGGGGGTCTCCGTGGTGGGGTACACCGACTGCGGTGAGGGGGCCTCCATGGTGGGGTACACCGACTGGTGGGCGGGTCTCCGTGGCGGGGTACACCGACTGCGGTGAGCGGGCCTCCGTGGCGGGGTACACTGACTGGTGGGTGGGTCTCCGTGGTGGGGTACACCGACTGCGGTGAGCAGGCCTCCGTGGCGGGGTACACCGACTGCGGTGAGCAGGCCTCCGTGGCGGGGTACACCGACTGCGGTGAGCGGGCCTCAGTGGCGGGGTACACCGACTGCGGTGAGCGGGTCTCCGTGGTGGGGTACACCGACTGCGGTGAGCGGTGGTGGGGAGGAGGGGGGTCCTGCCTGTCTGTGTGGCTGCTGTGTTTTAGGGGGCCCACCCACAAAGACGACAGGGCCACCGGGGTCACCAAGGGTACATCCAGGCTTAAAAGTCATTAGTGCCCGGCCAGTGGGCTCAGTGGTTAGAGCACGGCCCAGGTCAGGTGCAGGCAGGAGGCAACCAATTGATGTGTCTCTCACATCAATGTTTCTCTCTCTCTCTCCCCTCCTCCTCCTCCTCCCTCCCTCCCTCCCCTCTCTCTAGAAATCAATGGGAAAAATATCCTCGGGTGAGGATTAGCGTAGGTATGTAAGTATAGCTCAAGTAACCAAATACAGGGAGAAATAGATAAGTCGATAAATGTGATTTTTTAAAAACCATATGTATATGCGTCCGAATTTTCACCCTCCAGAAGTGCAAGTACTGGGCCTGCTGTCACACAGACACTGGGCCTCCTTCCGCAGGAGCCAGGGGGCGTGGGCGACTCTCACACACGTGTGTCCTTGTCCCCGTGTCCTTGTCCCTGACGTGTGTCCTTGTCCCCGACGTGTGTCCTGCCCCCGACGTGTGTCTTGTCCCCGACGTATGGCCTTGTCCCCGTGTGTCCTGTCCCCAACGTGTGTCCTGCCCCCGACGTGTGTCCTGTCCCTGACGTGTGTCCTGTCCCCGACGTGTGTCCTGTCCCCGACGTGTGTCCTTGTCCCCAACGTGTGTCCTGTCCCCGACGTGTGTCCTGCCCCCGACGTGTGTCCTGTCCCCAACGTGTGTCCTGTCCCCAACGTGTGTCCTGTCCCCAACGTGTGTCCTTGTCCCCGACGTGTGTCCTGTCCCCGACGTGCAGGGAAGACCACGCTGATCAAGGCTCTGACGGGCGACGGTGCCATGCAGCCCCGGGACCAGCTGTTTGCCACCCTGGACGTCACCGCCCACGCGGGCTCCCTCCCGTCCCGCCTGGCCGTCGTCTACATGGACACCATCGGCTTCCTGTCCGAGCTGCCCCACAGCCTCATCGCGTCCTTCTCCGCCACCCTGCAGGACGTGGCCCACTCGGTGAGCAGGCGGGCGGGCGGGCGGCTGGCGGTGCCGGGCCAGGGGCCGATCCCCTGACACAACGCAGTGGGGGCCGGTCCCCCACATGGGACACCAGCCAGGCTGGGTCCCCCCACACACAGGACTCAAGCCAGGCTGGGTCCCCCCACACACACAGGACACAAGCTGGGCTGGGTCCCCCCACACACAGGACTCAACCTGGACTGGGTCCCCCCACACACAGGACTCCAGCCGGGCTGGGTCCCCCCACACACAGGACACCAGCCGGGCTGGGTCCCCACACACACAGGACACCAGCCGGGCTGGGTCCCCACACACACAGGACACCAGCCGGGCTGGGTCCCCCCACACACAGGACACATCTAGGACCAGGTGCTCACACAGGACACACCCAGGACCCCCCCCCCAACACACAGGACACACCCAGGACCCTCACACACACACACACACACAGGACACACCCAGGACCCTCACACACACACACACACACACACACAGGACACACCCAGGACCCTCACACACACACACACAGGACACACCCAGGACCCTCACACACACACAGAACACACCCAGGACCCTCACACACACACACACACACAGGACACACCCAGGACCCTCACACACACACAGGACACACCCAGGACCCTCACACACACACACAGGACACACCCAGGACCTTCACACACACACAGGACACACCCAGGACCCACACACACACACACAGGACACACCCAGGACCCTCACACACACACACAGGACACACCCAGGACCCTCACACACACACAGGACACACTCAGGACCTTCACACACACAGGACACACCCAGGACCTTCACACACACACAGGACACACCCAGGACCCACACACACACACAGGACACACCCAGGACCCTCACACACACACACAGGACACACCCAGGACCCACACACACAAACAGGACACACCCAGGACCCTCACACACACACAGGACACACCCAGGACCCTCACACACACACACAGGACACACCCAGGACCCTCACACACACACACAGGACACACCCAGGACCCTCACACACACACACAGGACACACTCAGGACCTTCACACACACACAGGACACACCCAGGACCCTCACACACACACAGGACACACCCAGGACCCTCACACACACACACAGGACACACCCAGGACCTTCACACACACACAGGACACACACAGGACCCACACACACACACAGGACACACCCAGGACCCTCACACACACACACAGGACACACCCAGGACCCTCACACACACACAGGACACACCCAGGACCCTCACACACACACACAGGACACACCCAGGACCTTCACACACACACAGGACACACCCAGGACCCACACACACACACACAGGACACACCCAGGACCCTCACACACACACACAGGACACACCCAGGACCCTCACACACACACAGGACACACTCAGGACCTTCACACACACACAGGACACACCCAGGACCCACACACACACCCAGGACCCTCACACACACACAGGACACACCCAGGACCCACACACACACACAGGACACACCCAGGACCCACACACACACCCAGGACCCTCACACACACACAGGACACACCCAGGACCTTCACACACACACACAGGACACACCCAGGACCTTCACACACACACAGGACACACCCAGGACCCACACACACACACAGGACACACCCAGGACCCTCACACACACACATAGGACACACCCAGGACCCACACACACAAACAGGACACACCCAGGACCCTCACACACACACAGGACACACCCAGGACCCTCACACACACACACAGGACACACCCAGGACCCTCACACACACACACAGGACCCTCACACACACACACAGGACACACCCAGGACCCTCACACACACACACAGGACACACCCAGGACCCTCACACACACACAGGACACACCCAGGACCCTCACACACACACACAGGACACACTCAGGACCTTCACACACACACAGGACACACCCAGGACCCACACACACACACAGGACACACCCAGGACCCTCACACACACACACAGGACACACTCAGGACCTTCACACACACACAGGACACACCCAGGACCCTCACACACACACACAGGACACACCCAGGACCTTCACACACACACAGGACACACCCAGGACCCACACACACACACAGGACACACCCAGGACCCTCACACACACACACAGGACACACCCAGGACCCTCACACACACACAGGACACACTCAGGACCTTCACACACACACAGGACACACCCAGGACCCACACACACACCCAGGACCCTCACACACACACAGGACACACCCAGGACCCACACACACACACAGGACACACCCAGGACCCTCACACACACACACAGGACACACCCAGGACCTTCACACACACACAGGACACACCCAGGACCTTCACACACACACAGGACACACCCAGGACCCACACACACACACAGGACACACCCAGGACCCTCACACACACACACAGGACACACCCAGGACCCACACACACAAACAGGACACACCCAGGACCCTCACACACACACAGGACACACCCAGGACCCTCACACACACACACAGGACACACCCACGACCCTCACACACACACACAGGACACACCCAGGACCCTCACACACACACACAGGACACACTCAGGACCTTCACACACACACAGGACACACCCAGGACCCTCACACACACACAGGACACACCCAGGACCTTCACACACACACACAGGACACACCCAGGACCTTCACACACACACAGGACACACCCAGGACCCACACACACACACAGGACACACCCAGGACCCTCACACACACACACAGGACACACCCAGGACCCTCACACACACACAGGACACACCCAGGACCCTCACACACACACACAGGACACACCCAGGACCTTCACACACACACAGGACACACCCAGGACCCACACACACACCCAGGACACACCCAGGACCCTCACACACACACACAGGACACACCCAGGACCCTCACACACACACAGGACACACTCAGGACCTTCACACACACACAGGACACACCCAGGACCCACACACACACCCAGGACCCTCACACACACACAGGACACACCCAGGACCCACACACACACACAGGACACACCCAGGACCCACACACACACCCAGGACCCACACACACACACAGGACACACCCAGGACCCTCACACACACACAGGACACACTCAGGACCTTCACACACACACAGGACACACCCAGGACCCACACACACACACAGGACACACCCAGGACCCACACACACACACAGGATACACCCAGGACCCACACACACACACAGGACACACCCAGGACCCACACACACACACACAGGACACACCCAGGACCCTCACACACACACAGGACACACTCAGGACCTTCACACACACACAGGACACACCCAGGACCCTCACACACACACAGGACACACCCAGGACCCACACACACACCCAGGACCCTCACACACACACAGGACACACCCAGGACCCTCACACACACACAGGACACACTCAGGACCTTCACACACACACAGGACACACCCAGGACCCACACACACACCCAGGACACACCCAGGACCCTCACACACACACAGGACACACTCAGGACCTTCACACACACACAGGACACACCCAGGACCCACACACACACACAGGACACACTCAGGACCTTCACACACACACAGGACACACCCAGGACCCACACACACACCCAGGACACACCCAGGACCCTCACACACACACAGGACACACTCAGGACCTTCACACACACACAGGACACACCCAGGACCCACACACACACACAGGACACACCCAGGACCCTCACACACACACAGGACACACCCAGGACCCACACACACACACAGGACACACCCAGGACCCTCACACACACACAGGACACACTCAGGACCTTCACACACACACAGGACACACCCAGGACCCTCACACACAAACAGGACACACCCAGGACCCACACACACACAGGACACACCCAGGACCCACACACACACACAGGACACACCCAGGACCTTCACACACACACAGGACACACTCAGGACCTTCACACACACACAGGACCAGGTGCTCACACAGGCCAGGCCCTGGATGGGGTCCCGGACGGGAGGTCGGAGGAGGGTGAGTGGCATCGGCCTCGCTGGGCTTGCTCCGGACGTCGGTGCCCCTGGGAGTGGCCGCCACCTGCAGGGACACCTCAGGCTCAGCTGCGGGGACCGGCCCTGGGCAGCGCTCCTGCCTCCGCTTTCTGAAAATCTGAGGCTTTTCCGAGATAAAACATTTTAATAACGGAAGTCTCCCCTGAAAACGAGCCCAGAAGCGAACACCCCAAATACCAGGGCCCCTTTCCGGGGGGTGGGGCTCTCAAGTCGCTTTTCTGCATCTTCCTGTTGCACAGAGACCAGCCCGTGAATTGTTTAAAACTGGGCAGGAAGCTCCCTAAATTGTGAACGGATTGAAGGTGTCACGGGGGGTGCAACAGCCCAAAGCTTGACTGAAGCCCTTAGGTGGCTGGTCGGCCAGCACCTGCGGGTGGGGGTGGAGACAGGCCTAGCGGGGCCCAAGTCCCAGGAATGGCCCCCAAGTCCTTGTACAGGAGGGACCCCGAGTCCCAGGAACAGCCCCCCAGTCCCTGTACAGGAGGGACCCCGAGTCCCAGGAATAGCCCCCAAGTGCGTGTACAGGAGGGACCCCCGAGTCCCAGGAATAGCCCCCCAAGTGCGTGTACAGGAGGGACCCCGAGTCCCAGGAATAGCCCCCCAGTCCCTGTACAGGAGGGACCCCGAGTCCCAGGAACAGGCCCCCAGTCTCTGTACAGGAGGGACCCCGAGTCCCAGGAATAGCCCCCCAAGTGGTGTACAGGAGGGACCCCGAGTCTCAGGAATAGCCCCCAAGTCTCTGTACAGGGGGGACCCTGAGTCCCAGGAATGGCCCCCAAGTCTCTGTACAGGAGGGACCCTGAGTCCCAGGAATGGCCCCCAAGTCTCCCTACAGGAGGGACCCTGAGTCCCAGGAATAGCCCCCCAGTCCCTGTACAGGAGGGACCCCGAGTCCCAGCGCCCGGAGCAGCTGGGGCAGGACCTGAAGCTCAGCTCTGTGGTCTCGGGCGCCCCCCCCCCCCCCGGCCTGGGGCAGCCCCCCTGCGTCCTGCGGGTCCCGAGTTGGGGGGAGACCGGTCCCGCCCACCGGCCACGAGCCCCTCTGCCCGCAGGACGTGATCCTGCACGTGCGGGACGTGAGCCACCCCGAGGCCGAGCTGCAGAAGCTCAGCGTGCTCGCCGCCCTGCGCGGCCTGGGGCTGCCCGCGCCGCTGCTGGACTCGGTGCTGGAGGCGCACAACAAGGTGGACCTGGTGCCCGGGTGAGTGGGCGGGGCGTCCCCCTGGGGCTCCCCATCCGCGGGGACCGGGTGCTGGGTGAGTGGGCCCCGCCCCGCCCCGCCCGCTCTCCCCCTGGGGCTCCCCGTCCGAGGGGACCTGGGCGCCATCCGGGGATCCGGCTCTACCCTAACCCTCCCACAGCCCCGTCTGTCCCTACACCCGCCCCAGAGCGGCCAGTTGGGGTGACGCGCTCCGCACCGCGCGCCCCCATTCCCCCCCGCTCCCCCCGCCCCCATTCCCGGTTGACCCGCTGCCCCTCCCGCTGCTCCTCTCCCGGGAGGACTCGGGTCCCAGGTGGGGCCGTGGGGGCCTCGGGCCTCGTCCTCGCTGAGCGGGGTCTGCCCGCCGCGCAGGTACCGGCCGTCGGGGCCGCGCGCCCTGGCCGTGTCCGCGCTCCGCGGGCTGGGCCTGGAGGAGCTGAAGGCCGCGCTGGAGGCCGCCGTGCTGAGCGCCACCGGGAGGCGGGTGCTGACCCTCCGCGTGCGGCTGGCGGGGCCGCAGCTCAGGTGCCCGGGGCTGCGGGACGGAGGGGGCGGGGCTGCGGAGGGGCGGGGCCACGAGGCGGAGGGGGCGGGGCTGCAGGACGGAGCGGTGACGAGTCTGAGAGGGCGTGGTCTGGGGATGGGCGGGGCCGCAGCTCATGTGCCTGGGGCTGCGTGACGGAGGGGGCGGGGCTGGGGAGGGGCGGAGCCACGAGGCAAAGGGGCCGGGACTGCAGGACGGAGGGGTGACAAGGCGGAGGGGGCGGGGCTGGGAGGGGCGGGCCAACCGGCAGAGGGGGCGGGGTCTGGGGATGGGCGGGGCCATCAGATCGAGGGGCGGGGCCGCACTCAGTTGCCTAGGGCTGCGGGACGGAGGGGTGACGAGTCTGAGGGGGCGGGGCCTGGTGGGCAGGGCGGTGGCTTGGAGAAGGGGGCGGGGCCATCCGGGGCGGGGGCGGGGCCGGTGGCTGCTCCCAGGGACCTGCGGTTGCGCACAGCGCAGTGTGGAGCTCACACCTGAGTTCATCCCCACGTGCGTCCCGGGCCCGCGGGTGACCCACCGGGAACGTGCAGGTCAGAGTGGCCGGGTGCCCGGGGCAAACGTCACCCCGAGCTCCCTGCTCCCCGACCGCGTTCCTGACCCGCCCCCCGCCCCCCGCCCCCCAGCTGGCTGCACGCCGAGGCCGCGGTGCAGGACGTGCAGGTGGTCCCCGAGGCCGGGGTGGCCGACGTCACCGTCATCATCAGCGACGCGGCCTACGGCCGGTTCCGGAAGCTCTTTCCAGGATGACCGGCCGGTCCCCGGAGGACGCAGGTCCCGCGGGTGGTCCCGGCGGAGGTCGGTGGGCGAACACGCGGGCTCCGACCCGCCCGGCGGTGCATCGAGGGCGCACGGAGGGGACCGCCTCCCTCCTGACGGTTCTGCCACCGGCCGCTTCCCCCGGGCCCTCGTGTCCAGAGGAAACCAGACTTCGGGCCTCGTGTCCACACCAGGAAGTCGGTTCCTGCAGCAGAACTGCAGCATCGGCTGCTCCAGGTGCCGGGGGTCCCGGACCGACGCCTGCACCCCGGACCGCGGCCTGCACCCCGGACGGCGGCCTGCACCCCGGACCGAGGCCTGCACCCCGGACCGAGGCCTGCACCCCGGACCGAGGGCTGCACCCCGGACCGAGGGCTGCACCCCGGACCGACGGCTGCACCCCGGACCGACGGCTGCACCCCGGACCGACGCCTGCATCCCGGACGGAGGCCTACACCCCGGACCCAGCTGCAGAACCGGCCCAGGTCCATCCGGTCCTGGACACTCCGTGCTTCTCCGAGAGGCCGCGAGCTGAGTGTGTTGCCAAGGAGACGCTCAGGGAAGGGGTGTCCTTCCCTGGCCTCACCCCGAAAGCTTGCATGTAATTTTCTTAGACGTGTGCCCCCCGTTTCCGGCTGGTCCTTGAGCCAACCCCGAGCACCCGCTCCCTGGGGTGTAGGAAAGGGCCCGGACCCACCTCCAGCATCGTCAGCTTTTCCCGGAAACGGTTATGGGTGTCCCCCCGCCCCCCGCCCCCCAGCCAGACGGGAGGGGAGGCAACTGGAAAAGGCCTCGCCGTGTCTGTGGCCGAGTGGGGGGCGGAGAGGAGGCTGCTGCGGGGGAACAGGCGGCCCAGGCGCTCGGCCCCGAGGACCCGGGAGGGGCTCGCACCCCCACCCCACACTCCACCCCCCACCCCCCGCCCCCCGATCAGCAGCCTGCGATGGCAGCTCCCTTGCCATCCGACCGGACACCCGCTCTCGGGCTCCTGCTCTCGAGGAGGCAGAAAAAGTCTCGTTTCAGCCTCACTTCTGTCTCCGAGTCGGTTTAGAATTCGGGCGGGTGCGCGTTTCCCACAGAAATCAGGGGAACCCTGGTCTCCCTGACCTTCAGGAGGCCGGGTGAGCCTCCCCACGCGGGGCGGGGCGCGGTTCTTGTTCCGTGAGACGCCGTGACGCAGCCGACAGGCCCTCACGACACCCCAAACCTGTTCCCGCCCACACCTGCCGCCCACACCTGGCGGGGAGCTCAGCCGCCTGGAAACTCACCTTGGGGAGGTGTGGCCGACGGAGCAGTGCCCCCAGGACGCCCACACCCCAACCCATGTGGCAGAACAGTGTCCCCCAAATGCCCACACCCCAATCCCCATGTGAGAGAGCAGTGTCCCCCAGGACACCCACACCCCAATCCCATGTGACAGACAACACTGTCCCCCAAGACGCAGACACCCCAATCCCATGTGGCAGAACAGTGTCCCCCAAATGCCCACACCCCAACTCCATGTGACAGACAACACTGTCCCCCAAGACGCGGACACCCCAATCCCATGTGGCAGAACAATGTCCCCCAAATGCCCACACCCCAACCCCATGTGACAGACAACACTGTCCCCCAAGACGCGGACACCCCAATCCCATGTGGCAGAACAATGTCCCCCAAATGCCCACACCCCAACCCCATGTGACAGACAACACTGTCCCCCAAGACGCGGACACCCCAATCCCATGTGGCAGAACAGTGTCCCCAGAGACGTCCACCTCCCAACCCGCATCACCTGTGATGTCACCTGAATGGCAAAGGGACCCACAGGTGTGACCCAGGTCAGGCCTGAGACGGGGTGACTGCCTTCCCCGGTGCCCCAGTGTCATCAGGGGGACGGAATGCAGGGCGGCTGCAGGTCAGGGGCGGACAGGACGTGAGGACGGAGCAGAAGCTGAGTCATAGCCGAGCTCCGCGGTGCTGGCTGAGCAGACGCAGGAGGGGCCGCCAGGTCACTGTCCCCCCAGGTCACTGTCCGCCCAGGTCACTGCCCCCCAGGTCACTGTCCCCCCCAGGTCACTGCCCCCCCAGGTCACTGTCCCCCCAGGACACTGTACCCCCCAGGTCACTGTCCCCCCAGGACACTGTACCCCCAGGTCACTGTACACACAGGACACTGTACCCCCCAGGTCACTGTCCCCCCAGGACACTGTCCCCCCAGGTCACTGTCCCCCCAGATCACTGGCCCCCCCAGGTCACTGTCCCCCCCCAGGTCACTGCCCCCCCAGGACACTGTCCCCCCCAGGACACTGGCCCCCCCCAGGTCACTGGCCCCCCCAGGTCACTGCCCCCCAGGACACTGTCCCCCCCAGGACACTGTCCCCCCCAGGACACTGTCCCCCCAGGTCACTGTCCCCCCAGGTCACTGTACACGCAGGACACTGTCCCCCCCAGGACACTGTCCCCCCCAGGTCACTGTCCCCCCAGGTCACTGTCCCCCCCAGGACACTGGCCCCCCAGGTCACTGCCCCCCAGGACACTGTCCCCCCCAGGACACTGGCCCCCCCAGGTCACTGCCCCCCAGGACACTGTCCCCCCCAGGACACTGTCCCCCCCAGGACACTGTCCCCCCAGGTCACTGTCCCCCCAGGTCACTGTACACGCAGGACACTGTCCCCCCCAGGACACTGTCCCCCCCAGGTCACTGTCCCCCCAGGGCACTGTCCCCCCCAGGTCACTGTACACGCAGGACACTGTCCCCCAGGTCACTGTCCCCCCCAGGACACTGCCCCCCAGGTCACTGTACCCCCAAGGTCACTGTCCCCCCCAGGTCACTGTCCCCCAGGATACTGTCCCCCCAGGTCACTGTACCCCCAGGTCACTGTCCCCCCCAGGACACTGCCCCCCCAGGACACTGTCCCCCCAGGTCACTGTACCCCCAGGTCACTGCCCCCCCAGGACACTGTCCCCCCCAGGACACTGCCCCCCCAGGTCACTGTACCCCCAGGTCACTGTCCCCCAGGATACTGTCCCCCCAGGTCACTGTCCCCCCCAGGTCACTGTCCCCTAGGATACTGTCCCCCCAGGTCACTGTCCCCCCCAGGACACTGTCCCCCCAGGACACAGTCCCCCCCAGGTCACTGGCCCCCCCAGGTCACTGTCCCCCCCAGGTCACTGCTCCCCCAGGTCACTGTCCCCCCAGGACACTGTACCCCCAGGTCACTGTACACGCAGGACACTGTACCCCCCAGGTCACTGTCCCCCCAGGACACTGCCCCCCCAGGTCACTGTACCCCCCAGGTCACTGTCCCCCCAGGTCACTGTCCCCCCCAGGACACTGTCCCCCCAGGACACTGTCCCCCCCAGGTCACTGGCCCCCCAGGTCACTGTCCCCCCAGGTCACTGTCCCCCCCAGGTCACTGGCCCCCCCAGGTCACTGTCCCCCCCAGGTCACTGCCCCCCCAGGTCACTGTCCCCCCAGGACACTGTACCCCCAGGTCACTGTACACGCAGGACACTGTACCCCCCAGGTCACTGTCCCTCCAGGACACTGCCCCCCCAGGTCACTGTCCCCCCCAGGTCACTGTCCCCCCAGGTCACTGTACCCCCAAGGTCACTGTCCCCCCAGGACACTGTCCCCCAGGACACTGTCCCCCCCAGGACACTGTACGCCCAAGGTCACTGTCCCCCCCAAGGTCACTGTCCCCCCCAGGTCACTGGCCCCCCCAGGACACTGCCCCCCCAGGACACTGCCCTCCAGGACACTGTACCCCCAGGACACTGTCCCCCCCAGAACACTGTCCCCCCCAGGACACTGCCCCCCAGGACACTGTCCCCCCCAGGACACTGTCCCCCCCAGGTCACTGTCCCCCCCAGGTCACTGTACCCCCAGGTCACTGGCCCCCCCAGGACACTGGCCCCCCAGGACACTGCCCCCCCAGGTCACTGTCCCCCAGGTCACTGTCCCCCAGGACACTGTACCCCCAGGTCACTGGCCCCCCAGGTCACTGTCCCCCCCAGGTCACTGGCCCCCCCAGGTCACTGGCCCCCCCAGGTCACTGTACCCCCAGGTCACAGCCCCCCAGGTCACTGTCCCCCAGGTCACTGGCCCCCCAGGTCACTGGCCCCCCAGGTCACTGTCCCCCAGGACACTGTACCCCCAGGTCACTGTCCCCCAGGACACTGCCCCCCAGGTCACTGTACCCCCAGGTCACTGCCCCCCCAGGTCACTGTCCCCCAGGTCACTGGCCCCCCAAGTCACTGCCCCCCCAGGTCACTGTCCCCCAGGTCACTGGCCCCCCAGGTCACTGGCCCCCCAGGACACTGTACCCCCAGGTCACTGTCCCCCAGGACACTGCCCCCCAGGTCACTGTACCCCCAGGTCACTGGCCCCCCCCCAGGTCACTGTACCCCCAGGTCACTGTCCCCCCCAGGTCACTGGCCACCCAGGACACTGTCCCCCCCAGGTCACTGTCCCCCAGGACACTGTCCCCCAGGACACTGTACCCCCAGGACACTGTCCCCCCCAGGACACTGTCCCCCCCAGGACACTGCCCCCCAGGACACTGTCCCCCCCAGGACACTGCCCCCCCAGGACACTGCTCCCCAGGACACTGACCCCCCCCAGGACACTGCCCCCCAGGACACTGTCCCCCCCAGGACACTGCCCCCCAGGACACTGTCCCCCCCAGGACACTGCCCTCCAGGACACTGTACCCCCAGGACACTGCCCCCCAGGACACTGTCCCCCCCAGGACACTGCCCCCCAGGACACTGTACCCCCAGAACACTCCCCCCAGGTCACTGGCCCCCCAGGACACTGCCCCCCAGGACACTGTCCCCCCCAGGACACTGCTCCCCAGGACACTGCCCCCCAGGACACTGTACCCCCAGGACACTGCCCCCAGGACACTGTCCCCCCAGGACACTGCCCCCCAGGACACTGTCCCCCCCAGGACACTGCCCCCCAGGACACTGTACCCCCAGAACACTCCCCCCAGGTCACTGGCCCCCCAGGACACTGCCCCCCAGGACACTGGCCCCCAGGACACTGCCCCCCAGGACACTGGCCCCCCAGGACACTGTCCCCCAGGTCACTCCCTCAGGTCACTGGCCCCCAGGACACTGGCCCCCCAGGCCCGGGGACCCACTCCTGACTCCAGAGCTGAAGGTGCTCCGAGCTGCTGAGAGCTGCCGGCCGTGGGCCTGTGTCAGCGGCCGCACAGCCACACACGCGGGGTCCCAGGAGCCGGACAGGGGCGCCGAAGAGCCGCCCACGGGGGACACGGCCTCACCCAGCCGCCTGGGAGCTGGGCCAGCCGCCCTGCAGGCCGTGTGGGGAGCGGGTCGTGGTCGTGGCTGTGCCACCCGGTCCACGCGGGGGAGGGGGCGCTCAGGCTGCCCGCCCGGCTCCAGGGGGGCAGGACCTCCCTCCTGGGGGTGAGCCCGTCCTGGCTGCAGGGCACCCGCCTGTCCGTCGGCCCCGACGGGACACGCTCCTCCGGGGCCTCTGAGCTCGAGGCTTCGAGGGACCCCGGGGGCAGCGGGCACCCCGCGGGCAGGGCTGCCGTGACTGCACCTGAGAGGCGGGCGCCCCGTGGGTCCACACCAGCTCCAGGGGCCTGCGTGTCCGCGTGTCCTGGGGCAGGGGGACCCGGAGGGCCTGCGTGTCCGTGTGTCCCAGGGCAGGGGGACCCGGAGGGCCTGTGTGTCCGCGTGTCCCGGGGCAGGGGGACCTCTAACCCTGTGTGTCCGCGTGTCCTGGGGCAGGGGGACCCGGAGGGCCCGTGTGTCCGCGTGTCCCGGGGCAGGGGGACCCGGAGATCCCGTGTGTCTGCGTGTCCCGGGGCAGGGGGACCCGGAGATCCCGTGTGTCTGCGTGTCCCGGGGCAGGGGGACCCGGAGATCCCGTGTGTCTGCGTGTCCCGGGGCAGGGGGACCCGGAGGGCCTGCGTGGCCGCGTGAGAGAGCAGCCTGAGCAGACGGGACGGCGATGAGGCAGCCCCAGCCGGCGGCCACCCCTGAGGGGCCGCCCACCCCTGTGTGCACCTGCGTGGGGAAGCGCTCAGGAGGCCGCTGGGAACGGGGGGGGGGGGGGGGGGGGGGGGGGGAAAGCGGGGGCTGGGCCTGTGCTCAGAACCACTCCCGTTCATCCTACGAGACTCCCCGATTCCTGAAGTTCCTTCGACCTTCACAGCCAGAAACAAGTCACAGCAGCCGCCCCGGGAAGCCTGTGGCCAAGATGGGGGGACGGGGAGGGGAGGGGGGAGAAGGGGACGGGCCCTGATTTCACTGGAATTGGAAACAGTCCTTGTTTTTGTTTGTTTATTTGTTTGTTTACATTTTGGGGGGTTGACCCTCCCGTGAGGACACTTCCCCGCTGATTTATTTAGAGGGAGGGACGGACAGACGGACGGACGGACGGACGGACGGACGGAGGGAGGGGAGAGAGAGAAACGTGGGTGTGACACAGACACATCGATGCAGGGGTGCCTCCCGCACAGCCGGGCCCGGGGATCAAGCCGGCAGCCCAGGACCTTGACCGGAAATCGCACCCGAGGCCCTTGGATACCCGGCCGGTGCTCTAACCACTGCGCTCACCGGCCAGGCTCCCGGCTTTTTGACGAAGGGTTTGCTCAGTAGATCCCATCGCGCTCGGTCCCGTCCAGCCCATGTGATGCTACGGAGCCGTCCAGCAGCCCCCGGTGAGGGGTCACCTCTGAGCTGAACCCCACGATTCACGGGAACGCTGCCCGTGGGGAGGCGACCCCACAGCCACCTCCAATCCTCGAAGTCACTGGATTCACCCAGAAGCACTGAGGCCGCCAGGGGGTTCCCAGGAGGCGAGGGCCCTGCCACCCATCTCCTCGCCCGTGTGTGGCCAGGACGCCGCGGCCCAGGGCGCTGAAGGCCGGCCCCGGCGTCGCCCGCGGAGGCCGGTCAGCAGGCCAGCAGCTTGTCGTTGAGCCGGATGACGTCGCTGACGAAGGAGCCGGTGCCCACGAAGTCGCCCGCGATGATGTTGGTGCAGCGCCGGCCGGGCCCCGGGCGCTGCTCGCGGACCCAGGCGCTGAGCCGGGGCAGGCTGGGCAGCGTCATGTTCTTCAGGGACGCGGCCGGGTGCGCCAGGACGTACTCCAGGTTCTCCGTGAGGTTGATGCCCGCCACGAACAGCCCGTCTGCAGGGCAGGGCAGGGGCAGGGGGGCGCTCAGTGTCCACCGGAGCCACCCTGGGCACGTGTGTGCCCGTACACGTGAGTGCCCATGTGCCCGTGTGTGCCCGTGTATACCCGTGTGCCCGTGTGCACCCGTGTGCACGCACACATGTGTGTACATGTATGATGTGTGGTGCTTATTCGTATCCACACGCAGAGACACGCGTGTGCACACATGTTCGGTCACCGATGCACACGCACCACAGGCAGCTCTCAGTCCCGCTCCCGTCCGGCCCACGGCGCCCGCCTCCCGGACGCGCACCCACCTGGGCGGCCGCAGCCCTTCATGCGCTCCAGGTAGCGGATCAGCTTCTTGGCCGACACCTGGTTGCCCCACCAGTAGGGGATCCCCGGCCAGAGCTCCGGGTGCCGGGACACGACCCCGTCCTCCTCGTAGGAGAGCAGGACCTGCTGCCCCCGCGCCCACAGCTGCCGCAGCGTCGGCACCTCCTGCGGGAAGGGGGGTGGGGACAGAGTTGGGGGGGCACCGGGGCCCAGGGGGGCAGCGATGGCGTGGGGCCTGTGTCCCGATCATCACAGGGACACGACATGCGCTTCCCGTCATCGAGGACTGACCACCGGTCAGCAGTCGGACCAGAGGGGCACCAGGAGCTGTGTTGCCCATGAAGGGCCGGACGGCGTCCCTCTTCCGTGGACGCGCCCACCTCCTCATCCCCCGACCTCCTCACCCGCTCACCAGCCCCTCACCCCCCCACCCGCTCACCCGCTCACACCCCCGCCCCCTCACCCCCCCACCCCCCGCCCCCTCACCCCCCGGCCTGCTCACCCCCCACCTGGCTCACCCCCCCCCCGCCTGCTTACCCCCCACCTCCTCATCCATCCCCGCCTCCCACACACACACACAGGGCAGCCTCTCCCCCAGGTGCCTCTCGGGTGCCCAGTGGCTGGGTGTCCCCCGGCAGCACCCTCATCGCTGCTCCAGCCAAACCTGCCGGGACCGGCTTTCGGGGGCCCCAGAGGATGCACCTGGACAAACGCCAAACACAAGGGCTGACGTGCACAGACATGAAGTCGTGGATGTAACCCCTCGGCTCCCTGGGGACGGAGGGCTCGCCCTGGCCGCACCGGCCCGTGCAGAGTCACCTGCTCTTCTTGCTGCTAATTCTCCCCGATTTCCCCGTGGATTTCAGAGAGAGAGGGAGGGAGAGGGAGACGCAGAGAAACGATGTGAGAGAAACACCTCGATGGGCTGCCTCCTGCATGCGCCCCGACCAGGGCCCGGCCCGAGAGGAGCCCGCAACCGAGGTCCGTGCCCTTGACCGGAATCGAACCCGGGACCCTTTGGTCTGCAGGCCGACGCGCTATCCACTGAGCCACACCGGCCACGGCCAACTCACCTGCTTCACTAAACTGCAGGTGGGGCTAGGGCTGACCTGTGCCCCTAAAGTTCACAGGTCAAAGCCCTGACCCCCAGCCTCGGGCGGGGCTGTATGTGGAGGGTCTGCCCAGAGGAGGTGAAGGTCAGTGGGGCCCCTGGGTGCCCTGACCCCACAGGACATGCCTGGTTGTGGGCTCCATCCCCAGTCGGGGGCGTGCGGGAGGCAGCCCGTCCACGATTCTCTCTCCTCGTGGATGCTTCTCTCTCCCTGTCCCTTCCTCTCTGACATCAACACAAATAGTAACTTTTAGAAAAAGAGAGAAGCAGCCAGAAGCCGTGTTAGTGGGCTGCCGGCACCAGGATCCTCTCGGCCCCACGTTCGGGGAACCCGCGGGCAGAGGAGCCCGGGCCGCGCCCCCCCCCCCCCCCCGCCAGGAGCCGTGGGGGGCTGCCCGACTCACCCCGCGGGGACACAGCATGTCCCCGAAGATGTTCTTGATGCAGGAGACCAGGTACTCGTGCAGGTCCTCGCTCAGGTCCTCGAAGTTCCTGCAGGCCAGCACGACCACCTCGCGGGGGTGGCGCTCCAGCCACTCGGAGATCTCCGTCAGCGTGTCCTGGGGGGGGGGGGGCGGGGGGGAGGCCCCGTCAGACGCAGCCCAGGAGATGGGGCCGCCTGTCGTCATCGAAGGGGCGCCCCAACCACGCTCACTGGGCAAAGGGGTCAAGTCCTGAGCGAGCCCCCGCGGGACCCAGCTGCCCGGGGAGAGAGCTGGGCCAACGAGCCATTGTCTGGGGAGAAGTGTGTGTGTGTGCGCACAGTGCATGAGTGTGCATGGGAGTGAGTGCATGAGTGTGCATGAGTGTGCATGAGTGTGCATGAGTGTGCATGGGTGTGCATGGGAGTGAGTGCATGAGTGTGCATGGGTGTGCATGGGAGTGAGTGCATGAGTGTGCATGAGTGTGCATGGGAGTGAGTGCATGAGTGTGCATGAGTGTGCATGGGAGTGAGTGCATGAGTGTGCATGAGTGTGCATGGGAGTGAGTGCATGAGTGTGCAGCGCGCCCATGTGTATATATGCACGTGTGTGGTGCAATCTTGTGTGTGTGTAGTGCACCCACGTATGCGTGCATCCATGTGTGTGCAGTGTGCCCAAGTATATGTGTGTGTAAGTGTGTGCATATATGTGCATGTGTCCCCTCCAGACAGAGACACTATATGTGCAAACAGCAGCCCTGGGAGCCCCAGGGAGCACGGAGAGCCAGCAGGTGACCTGCAGGGGGCGGTCCAGGGGGGCCCCTCCAAGCCCCGAGGCTGCAGTGGGGGCTCAAGGGACCGAGGGCGGCTGTGGAGCCGACGAGGCCCGTCCCGGTCTGACCTAAGGAGCCGTCTGGCAGCTGAGAGGAGAAGGGACGGAAAACGTCCGCGCTGCAGGCAGGACACAGCCAGGGACCCACGTGTGCAAACCCCGGGCAGCCCCCCGCCCCCCCACCCCCCCCAAGTCCCCAGGAGCCCGAGGAAGGAGGCGGTGCGGCCTCAGAAACACCGGTGGCCGGGCACGCCCTCCGCCCACCACCAGAGGGCAGCACAGCCCCGGGAAAGGCCATGGGCCACTGCCTCGCCGGCTGCTCTGGCCACGCACCCGCGCCTCCAGCAGCAGGGCCCCCACATCCAGCAGCAGGGCCCCCACATCCACCTCCACCAGCAGGGTCCCCCCACATCCACCTCCACCAGCAGGGCCCCCCACACACCCCTCCACCAGCAGGGCCCCCCACACCCCCCTCCACCAGCAGGGCCCCCCACACCCACCTCCACCAGCAGGGCCCCCCCACACACCCCTCCACCAGCAGGGCCCCCCCACACCCCCCTCCACCAGCAGGGCCCCCCCTCCACCAGCAGCCCCCCCACACCCACCTCCACCAGCAGCGTCGTGTACAGCATGTGGACGAAGTGCAGGTTCTGGGCGGAGCCCTCGGGCATGTGTGCGACCCGCAGGTCCAGGTACCGGACGCCGGCGTCCAGCTGCTCCGTGACGTCCAGCACCTGCGGGCGGAGGTGGCGTCGGGGCCTGGACGGCAGGCGGCCCCCCTCTGGGCCCCTCGCGGCCTCCCTCCTCGGGGTCCCCGGGGCTGTGCCACCCGATGTCGGTCCCAGCACGGGGGCCCCAGGCTCGGGACCCCCACTCTGGCCGGTGCAGCCGCGGCCCCCCTGGGGTCAGGCCCATCCCCCGGGTCCCGGCATCCCTTCAGGGCCCCCCTCCCCAGGCCTCACTGGAAGGACCCCCCCCCCCGCCCTGCCCTGGGCGGCAGCTGTCCAGGGGGGCCCAGGGCACCCCTCAGGGTCAGAGGTGCCCAGGAAGGTCACTGCCCCCCCCCTCCCCCAGGAGCTGCAGGAAAGGCACAGGGACCCGGAGAAGAGAAAGGGCTGGTCCTCCCGAGGGTGACAGCGGGAGCCACACCGAGGCGACAGGAGCAAGAGAGGGGGTGCCATCCCCCCCCCGCCCCCCCCCCAGAGCAGCCACGCGGGGGTTCACACACAGACAGGAAGTGGGGAACAGCGGGGCTCGCTCTCCACCCACAGGGGCCTCAGGAAAAGGAGCGAATAGGACCCCGAACCCTGAACCTGAAACGGGAACCGGCTGGGGTGGCTCAGTGGTTCCGCTTCCACCTGGGAACCAGGAGGTCAGGGTTCGATTCCCGTCAGGGCACCGGGTGGGGGCTCCTTCCCAGCCGGTCGGGGGCGAGCGGGGGGGGGGGGGGCGCGGAGCCGTGATCCTCTCTCATCCTGGGTGTTTCTCCCTCTCCCCCCCCTCCCCCCGAAATCAGTAAAAACACATTTTAAAGAGAAAAAGAATGTGATCACCGGGTGTTTGGGACAAGATTCCAGCTGCGCCCGCCCTTTCGGGGGCGTCTTCCTGCGAATATTCTGGGCTGAGCCCCCGCCTGTGACGGCGTGACGGCGTGACGGCGTGACGTGTGACGGCGGGAATTTCGCAGGAAACTCAGTCACAGACGCATCACCTCGCAGGTCGCGCATCTGGAGCCACTGCGCTTCCCGGCGCCTCCACGTGTGGGAACCCGGTTCCCTGCAGCCCCGGCCTTGTCAGCCCCCCCACACCCGCGCCCACCCCTGCACCCCGGGAGCTGGGGGGGGGGGGCTGTTCCCAGCTCCGTCTGCGCCCTAACGGCGTCAGGAATGTGGATCCCCGACCTGCCCCCGCCCCCGCACCTGGGCGCCCGGAGGGTGAGTTGGGCGGAGCACTGGCGGAGGGGCGGGTGCTGGTTGCCTGGCAACCCATGGAAAGTCTAGGGCGGGAGCCCCAAAGTCTAGGGGGGAGCCCCAAACAAAATGAGGCGGGTCACCGGGGAGCAGAAAGAAAGCTGGAGGCTTGGGGGAGGGTCTTGGGGGGGCGGGGGTCCCCACCCACAGCCTGCGCCGCCCTGAGCGACTAAGGCATCTGAATTGCCAGCAAAGGAAAACATAGGAAGTAAAAATACTGAAATTCGCCCTGACCGGTGTGGCTCAGTGGATAGAGCGCCGGCCTGCGGACTGAAGGGTCCCGGGTTCGATTCCGGTCGAGGGCATGGACCTTGGTTGTGGGCACATCCCCAGTGGGGGGCGTGCAGGAGGCAGCTGATCGATGTTTCTCTCTCATCATGTTTCTAACGCTCTGTCCCTCTCCCTTCCTCTCTGTAAAAAATCAATTAAATATCATGCCCTTGACCGGAATCAAACCCGGGAACCTTCAGTCCGCAGGCTGACGCGCTATCCACTGAGCCACACCGGTCAGGGCTATTTTTATTGATTTCTAAGAGGAAGGAAGGGAGAGAAACATCCATGATGAGAGAGAATCACGGATCTCCTGCCTCTTGCACGCCCCCCACTGGGGATGGAGCCCACAACCAGGCAGGTGCCCTGACCGGGAATCGAACCCTGACCTCCTGGTTCATGGGTCAACGTTCAACCACTGAGCCAGTCCGGCCGGGCTATGTATTTCCATATTTTAAATAATAATGTGACCCCCCCCCCCCCCGGCCAGCCGTGCTCTGTGGTTAGAGCATCCGCCTGGGCACCCAAGGGTCTCGAGTTCGGTTCCTGCTCGAGGGCACGTGCCTGGGTTGCAGGTTCCATCCCTGCTCCCCACGCTCAGTGGCCCTAAATTCTGCAGTTTGTCTACGGGGCGGGGCTGCACGGAGGGAGGCAGCCCCCCAAAATAAAGGGTGGACCGGAGGGTCTCTGCCGAAAACTGTGGGGGAGACGCCCCCTCCGTCCCTCTCTGAGCATTTACTAGAGGAAGCGGGTAAGGGGCCCTCTCCTTTCCACGCGCGTGGGTCCCTCGAGCAAGGCTGTGGCCGGTCCACGTTCCCAGTGTGTCCTGCGGGAGGCGACCCCGGGAGGAAGGCCTGACTCCAGCTCACACGCATGTGCACCTCTGGGAAGCGGGGGCCTGCGTGACGCCTTGGGGGACCCGGGCACCCCCAGTCCCCGCCCAGGTGCAGGGGGTCAGACACCTGCAGCTGTAGCCTGAGCGGCGGCTCCGTTCCGGCTGGAGCAGATTCTACAAGAACCCATGGCCTTGGTCCCCTGCCCTGTGGGGAGGGTTCTGGGTCGGCCAGAGCTATGTTTTCTGTGATTTTTCTGTTATTTTTTTGTTAATCCTCACCCGTCACCCGAGGATTGGAGAGAGAGTGGAAGGAGGGAGGGGACAGACTGAGAAGGAGACGTCGATGTGAGAGACACATGAACTGGCTGCGTCCTGCACGCACCAAGGTACCTGCCCTTGACAAGAATCGAACCCGGGACCCTTCAGTCCACAGGCCAACGCTCTCTCCACTGAGCTAAACCGGCCAGGGCTCAGCTATGTTTCCCTGGAGAGTAGGGCGTCGGCCGGGTGGGGAGACGCGGGAACCAGCCCCCCTGGACGGACGGACGGACAGACGGACGGAGGCCTCTTACCTGGGTGACCGACCACTTGAGCACCACGGGCTGCAGGATGCAGGGCAGGAGCTTGGCGAGCAGCTGCAGCAGCCGCGACTCGGAGCGGGAGACGGGCGACCTCTTGCTCAGGCTATAGGTCATTGTGTCGTGGCTGCCTGGAATCGAACCGGACGGGCCTGTGAGTCCCGCCCGGGAGCTTGGAGCTGCCCACGGGGCTGACAGCTGACCCACGGACACCCACAGCCGGGCGGACCGAGGCCCAGAGTTCACGTCCTCCCAGAGCCTGCTGGGGGGACCTGCATGGGAACAGGGCCTTTGCAGACGGGATGGAGTGAAGGGTTGGGGACGAGGCCGTCCTGGGTCAGGGCGCCCCCCCTCCAGGGACAGGGCCCTTGTCAGAGACGGATGAGGAGACGCAGACACAGAGGAGCAGCCACGTGGAGACGGATGGAGGCAGAGGCGGCCACCAGCTCGGGGACGCCAGGAACCCCAGGCAATGAGAGGCAGGGGGACCCCCCCTCCAGAGGGAGCTCGGCCCTGGGACCCCTGATCTCAGACGCCTGGTCTCCAGGGCAGAGAGAAGACGAATGTGAATGGTTTAAGAAAGCTGGTCTTCGCCCCGGCCGGTATGGCTCGGTGGATAGAACCCTGCGGACTGAAGGGTCCCGGGTTCGATTCCCGGTCAGGACACAGGCCTGGGTTGCAGGCTCGATCCCCAGTGGGGGGCGTGCAGGAGGCAACCGGTCCATGATTCTCTCTCATCACTGATGTTTCTCTCCCTCTCCCTTCCTCTCTGAAATCAATAAAAACATATTTAAAATAAAAACAATAATGTGATCACTCTGGCCAGTGGCTCAGTGGTTAGAGCATAGGCCTGGACACCCACGGGTCTCGAGTTCGATTCCGGTCGCAGGCTCCATCCCTCCCCTCCCTTCCTCTCTCTCTAAAAACCAACGGGAAACACCCTCACCCTCTGAGGATGAACAACAAAAAAACCCAACAACAGACGGACAGACGGACAGCCTCACCCGGGATGGACAGGTGGTGCAGGGGCACGTCCCACAGCTGCGGGCTCAGCCCCGACATCCAGTCTGCGTTCGGGTTCGCTCTGCAGGGAAGGCTCCGGAAGGCGCCCGAGGCGCTCACCTGCCCACTCATCGCACGGGAGCCCAGCGACCTGGGGACGGACAGAGGGACAGGGAGTTAGACGAGGGGGGCGGGGAGGGGGCACGGCCATGCCCTTCTGGTGCTGGGGCACTGGCTTTGGGGGAAAAACAAAAAAACAGACTTCCCTCCAGGGCGGTTTGAGAGGTTGAGAGTGTAAAGGGAGAGAGACAGACAGAGACAAAGACAGACGGAGAGACGGACAGACGGACAGACGGACAGAGGGACAGACGGACAGATGTAAGAAAGACAGGAAACCAGAGAGACAGAGACAGAAACAGGCAGAGAGACAGGGAGACAGGTGCCCAAGGCCACTCTCGCTGGGTGGGTGGCACGTGTCCCCGTCCAGGGCCCCCCGCCCTTGGGTCCCCCCAACCCCCAGGACGGGAAGGAGCTGAGTGTCTGGGTTGTGGGGTCTCCGTCCTGGGGCCCTGCCCCCCCAGGAGCTCCGCCTGTGCCCGGGCCCAGCGGCCCCCGCGGCCCCAGAGGGGGGACCAGGGGGGGACCTGCAGCCGGTGTGGGGGGGTCAGTCCCCAGATCGGCGCCTCCTGGGCCGCTCAGTCCTTTCCGCTCAGGAGGGGGGGGGGAACCCCGCGGCGTCCACCGGGGAGCTGCCCCCCAGCCCCCCACACGGGGTCAGAGCCTCCCTGAGCTCGGGGACCCCCTGCAGGTCGGGGCGCCGCCCGGGCGGGTGAGCCTCGCGGTGACCCACCGGCCGGGCGGGCGGTGACGGGTCAGGAAATAGCTCGCAGGTGAGTGCGCGGCGCGTCCCCGCTCGTCCTCCCGCCCGGCCCGACCCGACCCGACCCGACCCGGATCCCGACCCCGACCCGGACCCCGACCCGACCCGGACACCGACCCCGACCCCGACCCCGACCCCGACCCGGACCCCGACCCGGACCCCGACCCGGATCCCGACCCGGATCCCGACCCCGACCCCGACCCGGACCCCGACCCCGACCCGGACCCCGACCCGGACCCCGACCCGGACCCCGACCCGACCCGGACCCCGACCCGGACCCCGACCCCGACCCGGATCCCGACCCCGACCCCGACCCGAGGCAGGAGGCGCCCCGCAGCCGAGCGCAGGGGACCCTCGCCCCCCTCCCCCTCCCGGGCCCCGCCCTCCTCCCCCTCCGCGGGCTCAGCGCCCTGCACCCCGGTCCCCCTCCTGCCCTGGACCCCGGTCCCCCTCCTGCCCTGGACCCCGGTCCCCCTCCTGCCCTGGACCCCGGTTCCCCTCCTGCCCTGCACCCCGGCCCCGCTCCTCCCGGGCCTCACCTCCTCCGCCGGGTCCGCGGCCTCTGCTCGGCTCCCCCCGGGACTCGGGACTCGGGGAGTCCGGCCGGCGCTTCCGAAAACACGGCCCCGACGGCGATTGGACCGGACGGTTCTGGGCGGAGCGGGGGGCGGAGTCACCCCCGGAACCGGCCCGCGTGCACCGGCGGCCGCAGCCGCAGCCCCGCGTCCAGGACGGGGTGGGGGGGGTTCCCCGTGGGGACGGCTCGCCCTGGGGAGGGCCCCCCCGCACAGCCCGACCGGCGGACGTCCGTCCGGAGCCCCGACCGCGGCCGCGAGGACCGGGCGCCGAGGGCGGCGCAGGCGGGAGTCCCGAGTGGCGCCGGGTCCGGTCCGCGGTCACCGGTCAGGAGGTCACCGGTCAGGACGGGGCTGCCGGCCGCGCCTCCCGCTGGCATCTGGGTGTCCCCCCCCCCCCCCCTGGAGCGAACAGGACGCGGCCCAGCTCCGCGTTGCATCATCGCGGCCCCGCCGGTTCCGGGCCGGATCCCCAAGTGGCCGCGCGGCCTCGAGTGTCCGAGTGTCCGGCTCTCAGGCCCGAGTGGCCCTTGACCCAGACCCACCGGTGTGTCGCCCGAGGGGGAGTGCGCTTCCGGGCACGTCCACCCCCGGGGGCTCCCCTGTCCCCTGTCCCCCGGGGGCTCCCCTGTCCCCTCTCACCTGTCCCCTGTCCCCCGGGGGCTCCCCTGTCCCCTCTCCCCTGTCCCCTGTCCCCCGGGGGCTCCCCTGTCCCCTGTCCCCCAGGGGCTCCCCTGTCCCCTGTCCCCCGGGAGCTCCCCTGTCCCCTCTCACCTGTCCCCTGTCCCCCGGGGGCTCCCCTGTCCCCTCTCACCTGTCCCCTGTCCCCTGGGGGCTCCCCTGTCCCCTGTCCCCCGGGAGCTCCCCTGTCCCCTCTCCCCTGTCCCCTGTCCCAGCTCACTGGGCCGCACCCTCCCCCTCTGTCTCCTTCTCTCTGGGACTCGCTGTTCCGTCCACTGAGCACCCGGCCTGCGCTGGGCAGACCCCGGGGTGGACGAGGGAGGAGGGACGTTCAGGGCGTCAGCAGGCTGGGCGTTTGGGGGCGCAGGCCTCTCCCCTCTGCTGCAGGCACCCCCCCCCCCCAGCTGCAGGCTGCCCCTGCCCGGAGCCACTCTTCTCTGATGGGGACTCCGGGGCCCAGCCACCCCTTTGGGCTTCCTTTCCGCCCACACAGGTCAAGCTCCATCCCCTGCCCTGCTCCCCCCCCTCCCTCCCTCCCCCCTCTCTTCGCCCTTCACTCAGCTCCCACCCCCACCTCCCCTCCCTCCCTCCCTCCCTGACACTCAGCCCCAGGCCCCAGGGGGAGGCAGTAAAGTGGGAGCTGAACTCCCACCCCCCACAGTCCCCCCCCATCCCCACCCCCACCCCGTCCATCCTCGGGGACCCTCTGCTCCCAGGAGAGACCCTCCCCCTTCCCCTCGGTCCCTCCCTCGTCCAGGCTTCCAGGCCCGGCAGCCCCCCCACCCCCCACCCCCCGCCCAGCTCTTGTCCTGCCCTGACCTTCCTGCTGGAACAAGGGCCCCAACGTTGTGCAAATCCCTGGATCACTTGCTCAACCCCCGGGGCCCCGGCAGAGGGAAGCCCAGGCCACTGACCAGCTGAGCTCGCCTTGTGTGTGTGTGTGTGGGGGGGGGGGCCTGCAGGACCCCAGATCCAGCGATGGCAGGGCCCTGGTGCAGGTCCAGCCCCGGCGGTCCAGGGGTTCCCACAGGTGTGGACGGAGTCGGCGAAGAATGAAGGACACGGAGACAGCGCTCTGATGACCAGCACAGCCAGGCTCTCTATTGCCCTGTTACATCTGTATTTATGCCATTTGACCCTAGAAGCCTCTATAGTCACATCATCATCTGTTTGGGGTCCTCCCCTGACCTTCTGCAGTTCCTGGTTTCATGTCCTAGTTTCTTATCTGACCTTTGCCAAAAGTCTTATCTCCGTCTCGCTCCGTGGATTTTAATCCTGTCCATTCTATTGCAAAGGTTACGACTGCTCTACTGTGAAGCTACACGGAAGTGACTGAAGGAGATTATCCAAGTCAAGGTTATGTCCTCTCAGCCCTGCTGGTGGCCTTCCCTGGGGCTGCCCTGTGTCGGTGGGTCTCCAGGGGCATAGGCTTTGGTGCTTTCTCTGGTGGGCAGACCCCTCGGGATGTGGGCCCAGCAAGTCCCAAATCTATTGCCAACAGTCTTAGTCCAAGTTCCTCATAAGTGGTACACGGTATTTCTGTAACACGAGGGGGTTTTACTGATTTATTCCTTCCCTAGCCCCGTTCATCCCTAACTCCAGGGAAACATCCCCGCCTGGGGAAACGACCTTTCTCAGGGAGGTGGCCCTGGTCAGAACCCATAGCGCTAAGAGGGGGAGCAACCATATTAAGAACAGGATGCCATATACGCCAGGTCCCTTGGGACATATGCTGTGCAGATGTTTCTTCCCAGCAGCCACTGTGTCAGGCAGCAAGGATGGACCGGCCTCCGGCACCCTGGTGTGATGGGGATGGGGGTGAGGCCCTGTGAGGGGCTCCCTGGCTTTGCCCAGGGGACCCCTGGGCTCCTGTGACACCCCTGGACGTGTGCCCTCTGGGCCTGGGAGTGAATCAGCCTGTGATGCTACAGCACCATGTTTGTGGGTGACCTTCACCTGGGTCCTGACCCCATCTGGGTCCTCGTCCCCGCCCCCACCCCCAGCCCCGCAGCCGGAAGACTCAGCACCTGCCGCAGCCCACGCTTCCCCCTCCCCTCCCGGCCCTGCCTGTGAGTCATTCTGAGGTGTTGCTCCCGAACCGGAGAACTGCTCACCTGTGTCTCCCATCGCTGCCGGCTGACCTGGGGCATGACCTTGTCCCCCAGGCCTCAGTGCCTCTGGGGAAGTCAGGGGTGTCCAGGCATCCCCCACCTTCTCCCCTCAGGACCCGCCAGCCAGAGCCCAGCCTCAGGCTCCCACTGAGAGAGGCTGGGAAGCCAGGACCCTGAATCGGAAACGGAGGCGGACAGTGAAGCAGCTGTTTGCAGCCACAGAAAATCTAGAAGCACCGCTGCTTGCAGCACCTGGTGACCCCACCTTCCCTCCAGCAAGGGCACCTCAGCGTCAATGGCTTGCATTTCCCCATCCAGAGGGCGAACAGCTCAGCCACCCAGTGAGGCAGACAGAGCAGAACTCGTCAGTGTCCCTGGCCCACCACACCCACGGACAGACGGACGGAGGGAAGGGAGTGCGCTCACGTGGGCACGTCAGCATGAAGCTGATGAACATGCATTGAGATCCTCCCCTAAACGCCCAGTCTTCATTTCCTATTTTTTATTTTTTAAAATATATTTTATTGGTTTTTTGCAGAGAGGAAGGGGTAGGGATAGAGTTAGAAACATTGATGAGAGAGAAGCATCGATCAGCTGCCTCCTGCACGCCCCCCACTGGGGACGTGCCCGCAACCCAGGTACATGCCCTTGACCGGAATCGAACCCGGGACCCTTCAGTCCGCAGGCTGATGCTCTAGCCACTGAGCCAAACTGGTTAGGGCTGTCTTTATTTTTTTTAAAAATATTTTTATTAATTTCAGAGAGAGAGGGAGAGGGAGAGAAACAGGAATGATGAGAGAGAATCATGGATCGGCCGCCTCCTGCACGCCCCCCACTGGGGATGGAGCCCACAACCCGGGCCTGTGCCCTGACCGGGAGCCGAGCTGTGACCTCCTGGTTCCTAGGCCGACGCCAACCACTGAGCCACCCTGACTGGGCTGCCCTCTGACTGGGAAAACCTTCAACCTCCACCCCGACCTGGGGATGAGGGAGCAGCAGCCACGGCCTCAGGTTAACCTGCAGGTACGTCCCTGGGGCAGGGGAGTCCCCGCTGACCCCGCCGCCACCCCGGGCAGCTCCTGGGGTGCTGGGTCTGAGGGGGTCCCCCTCGGCCGCCCCCTGCATCTCCCTGTGAATCACTCGGTCTCTGGGCTGTGAACGGAAATGACCAACCATCCGGGAGGAGGGAACCCCAGCCCCAGCGCTTTCCGGGGAGAGAAGGTGACCCCCGGGCACCTCCCTCTCACCTGGGGTGCCCTTTACTGGGACCCAAGCCAGGACCCTTCAGTCCGCAAGCCGGTGCTCTATCCACTGAGCCAAATCAGCCAGGGCTGTTTCATAACTGGTAAATATTAGGAGTTTCTAGATGCCTTCTGTTCCTGATTTCTAGATTAACTGCAATGACAAGAAACATACTGCATCTAATTTCAGTTCTTTGAAGTTTGTGGAAACTTTCTTCATAGTACTGCATGGTCATATGTACATGTACATGTATATGTATATGTACATGCATATGTATATGTATATGTATATGTATATGTATATGTATATACCTATATCTATACCTATATCTATATCTATATGTATCTATCTATCTATCATCTATATCTATCTATCATCTATCTATCTATCTATCTATCTATCTATCTATCTATCTATGCCTAATATGCTAAGTGTCCGACCAATAGGTCAATCACTGGACCAGTTGCTGTGACGTGCACTGACCCCGGGGGGGGGGGGGGGCAGATGCTGGCTCCAACCAGTAGGGTAGCTTGCTGCTGGGGTTTGGCCCGCGGGGACTGGGTGAGAGGGGGGGGACGCACCGTGAAGCCAACCTCCCGCGGTGCCTCTCTGGCCTCTAAAATATTTTAATTAATTTCCTTCCAGTGTGCATGAATTCGTGCCGCCGGCCTCCAGTAAAATGCGGGTATAAGTAGAGTGCGCTTCTCTGCTGCCACCTCGTGTGCAACTTGGGAGCCACACCTTCGTGCCTTCCAGCAGGAGAGGTTTGGGTGCGGTGGGTGCAGGCGTTGCCAACCTTTCGGACCTCGCGGCCCCCCATGGGTCGGCGGAGCCCCGGTTGCCGACCGCGGTTACAGTGGGTGCAGATCTGAGGTATCTTAGAGTCTGGGGACTTGGACCTGATTCTGGGCTTTCTGCATTTTTCAACTTGATAACATTAAACGCGTGCACACACACGCACACGCACACAAACAGGAATCCAGAATGAAAACCCGGCTGCCCCCAGGCCCAGCTGCCACCTGCTGGCTGACATCTGTGCCTCTCTCTCTGCTGGGACCTCCGCAGCGTGGCCAGCACCAGGCAGTTCAGATGCTCCTGCAAGTGGATCAGAAAAAAGGGACGCCCTTCCAGGTGCTCAGACACACCAGCCAGCGCTCCTCCTGGGTCCACTCTGAGTGGACGATAGAAACTGTGTGTCAAATAATAGTACACGTTATGCAGTGAAATCAATAATGGAAACGCAGATGTGGTCCTGCCACAGTAATCCACAGGCAGACCAGGAGAACAGAACAGTGTGTATTTCCACGTCTATAGCTTTCTCTGTATCTACGTATGTATCTATCCACATACCTTATTATTTTTGTTAATCCTCACCGGAGGATATTTTTCCATTGCTTTTAAGAGAGAGAGAAACCTATGTGAGAGACAAATTAGTTGGTTGCCTCCCAAACACACCCCAACTGGGGGCAGGGATCAAACCTGCTCCCCGGGTAGGTGGTCGTGATCAGGAATTGAACTCAAGACCCTTTGGAGTGAAGGCCAATGCTCTAACCACCGAGGACAGCAGCCAGGGCTATCCAGGTATCTTTGTATTTCTTTCTATCTATCATCTATCTATCTATCTATCTATCTATCTATCTATCTATCTATCTATCTATCTATCTATCTATATCTATCTCTACCTATTATCTATCTATATCTATCTATCCTCTCTCTCTCTCTCTCTCTCTCTCTCTCTCTCTCTCTCTCTATCATATA